CAGAATTCGGTTCGTCGCCTCCATTATTTGGACTTTAGGGATATTCCGACTCTCGTTGGACGACCATCCCCTTTATATCGAGTCCAGATCGCCGGCTGAAAGGGGAATCAAAAGCGGCAAAGCTGACGTAGCCGCCGCGGTAAGCCGAGCTGGTGCGTTAGTAATGAATAAACGAATAAATGAAAATCATTGAAAAAGTTGTCGTTTAACATCAATGTCCATTTACAGAGTGTCCGTCGATAGGTATCGATATATTTCAAATGTACGATAATTCCCCGTGGATGCGCGTTCATTTTTACATCGCGGTGGGATATTTTCCTGCGTGGGATCCGGTAACCCTGTGCCGAGAGGCGGATTTCCCGGAGAATTCGAAAACTATTGGCAGTATCGAGTGGGAAATCGATGGCAATAACCGGGCCCCGGAATACATCTCGAGAGCTCTTTGCGATAAATCGCAAATGAATAATACATATCGGGAGGGAAATTCATTTTCGCCCTTCGCGAGTGTCGGGGACGCAGCATCCCTGTATCTCAATCTCGAGGAGAGGAGAGGATAACCAAACCGTGCCCGAAGGAGAGAGCTCCCGACTTTATCGGAATTGACACCTAGAAATTCGAGAGAATCTCCCGGGTAAATTCTCGGTCTTCCGTAGAATGGAGGTCCGACGTATGGAGCTCCTCCGAATGAATCGATCTCCCTTTTCCTCCCTGCCCGGTCTCTTGATTTTTATCGAGGAATCGCGGACCTTTGAAAGACTCTCCCATCTCCGGCGCCATCCATTCCGCGAGCTCGAATTGAATGGCAGTATTTTAGTCTCCAGGTAGCACGCGGCTTTCCAGGCACAAAGTTTCGTCCCTCCGATGGCGTCCTCTCGCGATGCAATCCTCCGGAGTGCATAAATCTCCCGCACTTGAGAAATCCCCGTCACCACTCCGCGGTGAGAAATGCCAGCCGGACTGGCTTCGAATTTTCCGGAAAATCTGGGATAAGTATTTCCACCGTTGGATTATAATAATTTAACCCCCCTCCCCGAAAATTCCCATCAATCCTCCACGGCGAGAGATATCCATCGATCCTCGGTTTTTCCTCAAAATCTCTATAAAAGTATCCCTTCGCCGCGTAAGATCGTAATCATTCAACCGTACCGCCAAGAACACCTGGGCATTTTCTGGAACCTCCCGGTCGTTCCCTCGGGGTAGGGAAAAATTATGAAAAATTCTCCCCCGGAATAAACAGACACGGGGACGCTTCGGAATAAGCCGAGGTGGTCGACGGCGAAACTCGCCCCCGTCGAGACGAAGGACGTGTTACGTCCTAAAGGGGAATTTTCACTTGGCGAGGACGTTTTACGGCCCTCGGGATGGGATCCTCGAACATCCCGGAGGAGAAGACTACCTTCCGATGTGGACATACGACTTACTCGGCCCGGGGAAAATCCAGGTTCATCGACCGGCGGAAAACTTGGAGCTTTATCAAAGCAACCTCCCCAAGGAGTTAAGAAAAGACCGCATAACAACCAACAATGCCGCAGTCTATTTTTCATTCGTTCCCCAAACTTCGCTCGGATCGACTCGATCGTTTCGATCGACTTCGCATCTAAAAAACAGGCGAAAGAAAAAAATGTGGGGGAAATTAACGATAGCGTAGATGCGTTTCTATTTTTTAACCCCGCGTCCCAATTCGACGATAACGGGGAAATCGCGGCGGAATATACCCTCTTTGTGGGGATGCAAAACGCGGATGGAAAAAGCCGGCAAAGGCAGCTAGGTGGGTTCGGATTCATTCGAATCTTCGATTACCGATACCGCGTTTACGTTAACGTTAACGATGTAACTCGGACCGCAGCTCGTTACGATATCGAGGCAACGAGACGTGGGTCGTTATAATAAACTCTCTTTCAATAAATTCCGCCGATTGCGGCGGCGTGTTTGGTCCCATCCGGTGTACAATTATAAAATACAGAACCGTTCCGAGCCGGGAGTGGAATTGTTATAAAAAGAGGGATAATAAAGGAAAAAGTGAAACGCGCCGCCCTGTAGCCGGTCTCGATTCGGCGTAACGACGTTTCCTGGGGGGTCAATTTCGAGGCTGCAGCTCGAGGCGAGAGAATTATTACGGTCGTGGAATTATTCCCGACCGGAAGTCTCCGAGTGCCTACTCGTGGCCTGCTAACTGAATTACGGCGGGAATTAATGCAAATGACAGGAAACTGCACCGCGTTTCTCGCCGGTAGCCCCTCGGACTCCCGGAAATCGCCGCGTTAATTTTCATCATTTTAATACTTTTCCTCGTTAACGTCACTTTAATGCCCTTCGTTTTTAACGCCGCGCCTCGCGAGATACCTCGTTTAACGAGATTCGTCCAAAGTACTATCCGGTATCGACCGTTTACCAGCCTCTTGTGGTTTTCACCCTCGACTTTAAACACTTTAGCGGTATCACTGCGAGCGGCTTATTAGTGCAAGGTCGCTCGAGAGTGCACTACTCGGTGCACCTATGCATTTCCGCGATGTAGATTATACGGTCTCCAATTTAGCATTACCCGTAGGCAGGGGCTCTCGGCCCTTGGAAAAAGTCCCAGACGTCTTCCACGACCTCCTTACGATCGCGATTTATCGAAATCGTGGATGGGGAAAAAAGAAAGAAAAAAAAAAGGATGCTCAGGAAACCGCGATTGTGACAATCGTAATTGCGCCGCAAGGCGACATACGGACAACCTCGCCAGAAAATTCTGACAACCGGAGTAAAGTCCCAGTAATTCTAATTAAAATAATTGTTTTTCGTGTAATTAAAAAAATCTCGCCGATTAAATCAGCGGTCCCTTTGCGGCCGTTTAATTCGGCTCTGTTTTCGCGAAAACGAGCCGAGTCCTCTCGGTGCAGCGCCCGCCGCTGCAACGCTCGCTGCACTTGCAATAATTATAGGCCGCGGCATTGCAATTTGGGAACCGCTGTTCCGGAGCACGGACAAGACACGGTGTGGCGAGCTTCCACTACAATTAAGCCCACCTTGGACTTGCGGCCCGGAATGGCCGAGCTTGTTCCTCCGCTAAATGAAGCGATTCCACGTCAAAGAATTTGCAAAATCCGACACCGACTTGGCCACGTGCTCCGAAAAGTGCGAATCCACTTGTTCGTAACACACCTGATTTTCGTTCGCTCGGATGTCACTTTGACATCCCCTTGATACGTAAGCTACACCTCGGGATATTTATGCTAAATACGGCAGAAAAAAAAAAATACTCCCCGTAAGGATGATAAATGTCGAAAGGTGCTAATCACTCACCTCCTCGGCGTAGCACCTCCTCGAAGTAGCACCGCGGCCCTAATTGCGTCTCAGGGAGTCCGGGCTGTATTTGCGGAGCATTAATTCCCCAGGGGAAAATCCTGGAAGGACTCGCGTCCTGGGGGGTCGAATTCGCCCCCGACCGGGGGGTCGAAGTTTGCTCAAACGGCGCTCAAATAATTGCAGAACCCGCCGAGGCGATCGCGCGTTCGACGACGCACATCCGGGGGCTGCACTTCGCGTTTCTACTTCTTCCCTGGCGTGCTCTAATTAACGGCGTTAATTAATGCGCCCCTCGAGTCACCGGCAAGGCATTCGAGTGCAGTGGGCCGACGAAAGGCGAGCGAAAAAGTTACCAACCGGTAGCGAAATCCGCGAAATCGCGAAACCGTGAAACCCAGCCCCGGATATCGAAGGGTTGTTTTTTTTTCTTTTCTTTTCCGCACAACTACCCCTCCATGGCAAATCCTCAGCCCTCGGGACTCGACTCTTCGGGGTCCTCTTCGAGTCTCGAAATATTTCCCTGAAGTGTCCAACCTGGCCGACCGTGGTCGAGACACTTGAAGCGGCGACGCAGCTTCAGCCGCCCCGTTTCACTTAGGGGATGCTTTGACAAATTGTCGCAGAAACTCGGCAGGTAAATTCCTGGACCGTTTCTGAGGTAACCGGGTCGCGACGGAGCATTGCATCCGCCCGGGGCAGACTCGGGTTTCCCTTCAACGTCGAGCTTGACAGCAATCAAGACTCCGCGAATCGGCTGTGTGTAAAGTTTCTGTTTCCCGCGTTTGTAGAAAGGCTCGGTACGTGTGGCGAATGCGGGTGAGTGTACGTGTAAACACGGGATGCAGATCTGCAGCCCCGAAAGTCGAAGGAGCTTCCACGCCCCGGGACAAGGGGCGCAAATAAATGTACAAGTCCCCGGGACGTCGACCCTAGAATGTTAATTCTAGGGTCATCGGAAGTAATATAATTTATGCGTGTGTATGGATCGATATATTATTAATCAAATAATATAAATGATACGGACCGATGTACTCGGCTGGGGAGAGCTCGGGCTCGACAGCGAGGGGGATCTCAGGTCCTCTGAATATTTAAAAACGGTTCTCTTAAATTCCGGAGTTGGTAATGGAGGGTAAAGCCGTACTGAAGGAAGATAACTGTTATTCTTCCCTCTGAGTGTCAACAGCTTCAAGGTTCCTCCGGATCCCGATCCCTCGAAGGGTGCGAGAAAGCCGCGGCGAGAGAACAAGAGCCTCCTCCGGGATTACTCCACTATAAATTATTCAGAGCGAGACGGCCGACTCGAGGGAAGGATGGTCGAAATGACGTGATAAAATTATCCGTCTATCACACCTCCCGTTCTTCAGGGTCCCCCAAGCTCTACCAAGAGAGTAGCCCACCGCGTGTCCCCGAAAAAGCCTGAAATATCACAATCAGACGTACACTGTGAAAAACTGTTCATCGTGCCAAATTGAACGTTTCTTGAATAGCGCCAAAGAAATATCTGGTTCAATTAAAATAATAATTATTTCAGTCGAATAGTTATTATTTGAATCAACTAGATATGTCTTTGGTCCTATTTAAATATCTCCTTGGTCCAATGAAGTTTCCCTTTTTCCTCGGTGCACGGAATCGTTTCTAATCCTTCTTCGGGAAGTCGAGATCTCGAAGAGGGTGAAATCGGCATCGGGTTACGAATTTATAAATTAGATTTATTATATTCGTATAGTCTGCGACATGTGGAGGGGAGTCTGCATCAACTCGAAGGCGGCATCTTTGAGGTTGGCTCCGCGAAGATTCGCCTTATGGAGGTCGGACCCGGAGAGGTCGCAGCACTGAAAATTGAAATCAAAGGTTGAAGAGGCCGATTCCCCCCTTCGACCCTGAGAGAAAGAGACTCATATAACTCCATTGAATGATTTCCTCGAAAGGAAAGAACGTTTTTCCAGGTGGAGTTTAGTCTCACCTCGAGGTCGGCTCCGGCCAGGATCGCGGACTTGAGGTCGCAGTTCTTCAGGATCGCGTTTTTCAGGGTCGCGACGCGCAGGTTGACCGAGGCCATGTTGCTGCCCTCCAGGTTGGCCCCCTTCAGGTTGACGCCCTCCATGTTGGCCGGCACGAGACCATTAGGGTCCTCGAAGTTGCACGAGTGCAGGTTGGCCGACTCTAGGTTCGCGCAGAGCATTTTCACGCAGACGAGCTGGGCGCCTTCTAGATTCGCGCAGGAGAGATCCGCGCGCTCCAGACAGCACCCGGTCAGGTTGGCCCCGATCAGAGAGCAACCGCGTAAATTGGCGTACTACAACGTCAAACCAGAGACCACTTACATCCCCTTTCCCGAGGTTATAAACAATTACAAACGATTTAATTTGGCCAGGCATTTGTTAACGAATAAACTGCGCCACGCGTTCCCTCTTCAGGGAGGAAAGTAGCCACTTTCTGCTCGTAGCTCGTAACATGCAACTTTCGCCACGGTCGGGTAGGCCCTGAAAGCAGGACTTTCGGTGTAGGGAGGATGAAAACATTATTCCGCCATTAGGGGGTGCTCGAAGTCCCTTTAACGCGAGCCCGGGGGGCACAAAAGAGATTAAGCCGCTTAAAGCCCCATGCAAATTCCAAACGGTCCGGCCCATTACGCACAGAGAACTTCCACTAGGAGGTGTAGCGTGAGGGGTTACTTAAATAGTAGCCAGACCTCGCCAAAGGGGAAATGGCACATCGCGATCCAGGCCGGATCCGTCCAACGAGCGAAAGGCGCTCCTGTGAACCGATCAGCTGATCGCAGCCCACGTGTTTACCCGCGACTCGTTTATTTTCCAAACAAGCAATCGCGAGGGAATTAATTAAATTATCCATCCGATTGGATTATCAAGGACCGGGGAAAAAAGTGTCTCCTCGATTCGCGCCTGCCAAAGGCAAGGTGAAAATTGCGAGAATGAGAAAAATCGTAGAAAATACGGAAAATTGTAAAAATTGCAAAAATCTCCGGTTCCAAAACCTCGGAGTACCTGCTCCGCGCATTCGTTTCTGAATGCTGCTGGCTCGCCGTAATTACCTCAAGTGTCAGGAACAATTGTCCCGAGCGAGAGGGCACAAAGGCGAGGTTACAGCGTTCTGAAGACGGCGATCGATTCGCGGGAAATTATTAACGCGAAAGCCCGCCTGGCGCGTAATAGCGGAGGTAATGACGCGTAATGCGAGACCACTTTGAGACGCGCTGAATCCTTTAGCTTCTAATTAGTTTGACGTAATCACGGGCTAAGTGAGCCTTAATCGGGCCCTCGGAGCCTGTCGCGGGGTCGGCCTTAATTGACTGGTAATTGTCGAATAACTCGGTGTACCCCGGAGTACCTGGACAGGTGGGAACGACACACGTCGCACTTGATGACGATTTGCCGGCCAAGTCGTTAAGACGCCACGGATACCTCGGTTATCACGCGATAACGACCGGTAAACGCTTGCTCGTGTTTACAGGGTGCCATGAGAATCGGGCAAGTTTGACGCCCACGAGACTGGAAAAGTTAGATTGACTTTCCACGGCGGTCTCTTCAGCTCTCTCTCGCCTCTCGAAAAATCCCCCGCAATTCCTCGCCACGCACGAACTAGAAATTCAATCAACGTAGATGAAATAAAATTCATCCGTACCCTTGGACGTTCATTAATTTATCTGAGGAGGAGACGAGAAAACCGCGGACGCGCTCTCCTGAGGATTTATCGAGGATCTTAAGAGCACCCCGTGAGCGTTACTTCCGCAGACCCATAAATGATGCATGTCGTTTACACACCGTCGCCGTCCATTTCGGCTAAAAATACCCGGCTTTACGGACTCGCCTTTGAGAATCGCGACATCTCGCTATAACGATTCTGCCCGGCAGAAATGTCCCCCTTGGTCGATACTCGCGGTTTCGCCTAGTTAAAAAAGAGAGAAAAAAAAAGGAAAAAAATTCCAACCGGAACACAGGAGTCCCGTTGATTTGCTGAAACATTTATCAGACCTCGAGGAGTCGTTAAAAAGTAATGTCAATTCAATGGGCTGAGGGAAATAAAAAAGAGTGCGAGAGGGGTAAGGGAAATCCTTTTGAAGCACGCTCGAAAGAGCTTTCAGAATGGCGAATGACCATTCGCTGACCTACATGCATTTTTCGATTTTACCCCCGCTCATTTATGCACCGGGTTTATCAACCGCTGCCCGGAAAGGAGCCTTTCATGTCGTCTGAAAGCATTGTGCGTTCAGCCGGCTGCGACTGCACCCGGAATCCCCATGTAAATCCCCTTTTGATAACGGCATGATAAAAACAGACACAGGAAACGGGCCATTTCGCATCTTCGTGGAGGCGAAGTTGTGTCGTTTACTTAGGTTAAGCTCAAATCCAAAGTTTTGTAATTAATCCCGGAAAAGGGTAAATAAACGTTTCACGTTTAAGGACAAAGGGTTGAAAATTGGCCTACGGGGTAACGAGGCGACCCCGAGTTTCCCTCGAAGAACCTTAAACTGAGCCTATTTATTATCCCCAATGGTCGCCCCTTCGAGTTTACTCTAAACTAAGAATCGCGGATCAAAATCAAAGCTGGTGTTTCAAACTTCGCTGAAATAAGCTCGTTAAGGTGATACGAAAGCGGTGTCGAAGAGGTCTCGTTAATGAAACTTTTCCCCTAACCGGGTGTCCCGAATCCTTTCAAATTTTACCATGTTAACATGGAATCTATAAGGAAGGGGCAACCCCCATAAAATTCCAATTTAAACAAAAATTGTTATAGGTATTTTAAATATTTTTTGTACAAAATACAATTTTGGGGGGAAGTGGACCATCCTTGGAGTCTCCACGTTCACGTGGCCAACTTTGAAAAGGTAAATCCAGTTTGGAGAAAAGTCTCACGAACGACTGACCCTTCAGATGCGACTTCCATATCGCCTTAACTTCCGCTAAAGAGATAGAAGGAGGTTTCACCTTAAAATTAATATGTCTCAGGTCCAGCCGTGAAAGATCCGCCCCTACCAGGTTGACCCCTTGAAACCGCAGCTTGGAATTCGTCGACGCCGACATGATGGCCTTCAGGACGTCGCGCCTCGTCAAGGATGCCGAGCATTTTCCTCGTCTCTCCTCTTCGGACGTCATGTCCTCTAAAATGGAAACGACCCCTTCAATGCCGTAAAATCTAGCCTCTTCTAAAACACCTGCAAGGACCACGGCCACATTAATTCTTCATCGTCTGAAATAAGTCACTCGTTACATCTCACTCCGCTCGGAAAACCTCTAAAAAAATCTTGAAAGCTCTGAATTGCTCTAAACAATTGGAGGCCCTAAAACTGACACTCTAGACCGATTTCTGGGGTGTACAACGGATTCGGACCCATCGTAAGATTTCAATGAAAATGGAAAAGTGTGTAAGATTCGGTGGAATCGGTGAAGATTTGGATTAATTCCCCGCAGTATGCATATTAAGAAAAAACATTTCTGTCAACGTACCAGCGGCGTTAAGATTTTTATCGAGTATCAATTGCCCGTGTCTCAAGTAATTGAGCAATGGCTCAAAATATGTAGGACTCCTATCGATTAAAAACGCTCCGTTGTGATTCTTTCTACTCGGCTGTATTCTACATTCCGAGTCAATGCTCTCTGTGAACATTCTGCAACATACAATGTTCTGTGGAAAATATTCCTAGGCATCGAAGAAGCCACCTTCTAAATACAACTAGCATCCTTTACCTGGCCAACATACTCATTGGCTCTTTATTCGTCAAAGTGCTCCTAGTAGTAGTAAAACATTTCCCACCGACATTCAACGTTACCCAATCGGTTTTCTCCGGTACTCGACCCAGTTCGACGGTTTTACTCTGGGATATAAAATCCTCGCCACAGGACACGTAAAGAACGTCGTCATCTCTGTAAGGTTAAAGTGTCACTTTTGTCCATCGTAACGCATCGATCAAAAATTCATCAAAACCGACCTAATGAGCTCGACATCGTCAATCTCACCTCCCTGGGGTGTGAAAATCCGTTTCGCCGATACATTAAATTTTAAACTAGCTGCAACTAACAAATCTTCTATGGAATGCGTCACCATAAAAACCTGCAACAATGTGCAACAGATTATAAATATAACTAAAAATATACAACCTGCACATTTACCAATCTAATATGCAACGAACAGCTTCGCCGACACTCCTCTTACATTTCATGACATAACATTTAATTCCAAAAGTAATTTAACATTATCCACCCGATCTAATCTCATTTTGCAAGAAATTCAAATTGAAATTTCCTTCTAATATTCAAGATTAATGAAATTCAGTTATCTTTCAAGAAGAATCATGTTCATAAGCCACACGTGAGATAACCTGTCAGATAACCTCAACAGTGAACAAGCTACTGAAGCGCCATCTCTAAGCCGCACCTCGAACCCACTACACAAAACTTGGACCGAAAGAGGAAGAAACAGAATGAATTAAACACACTGACAATCAACTAAATACGAATTAACTCGAGTCACGATAAAAGAATTCTCGGTCCTACACCACGTGGAGGCAGCCAAACTAGTCGTTACTTTCATAAAATTTGAAAAAGGGCATCGCGGCACAACCTACCTTGCCGTTCACGTCGGTACCGTTCAGGAAGAGAATCACTCTTTTCATGGCGCAAATATCGCCGACCTCGCGTACAGCGATTATATTTCGTGTCACTCATAGGACCACTCGTATCATCCGCGAAAAACGAGCGAAAATTCGCGGATTCTCGCGAATCGGTCTCGCACTGACGTTTACCTGGCGGCCATATTTAATACTTAAAACGAACGCATACACGAAACTGCAACGCGCAGCGCTGCTCACAAGATGGCGACGCGAGTGCTCGCAACGGTAAAAATCCAAAACACTGCAATCGACTAACTCAACCTAGATAAATTACCGACCACCTTTTACCACCAGAGATGAGTTGAGAGATTCACGAGAAGGATCTGCGAAGCGATCTGATATCGCCCAACAACGGCCCAACTCGGTAATCCACGTTATCTATGCATCCTTCTCTCGGCTCTTCGGGCCGCGATTTTTTTGCCGACATTTTTTAACACTTGGCATGCGAGTATACTTCGCCGCCAACTTACGCGTGCAGCGGGCGTTTTTTCGTGAATAGCGCCACAAATCTACTAAATACGTATTTTTACGCGACCCTCGCTCCAGTGACAGACTCGCCCCTACCAGAAATTCATTGCGCCGCCCTTGGGGGCAATAAACGATGAAAGCTAACGTACGAAATCAGAGGGCAGCACACGGTGCGATCGCGCGACCCTGCCCGTGAGCAATCTCCCAACTCATCTCTGCTACTGGTCGGTTTCTCAATTACGTGTCGCGTTGCTTTAATAAAGAAAGCTTTTTCGAAAAAGTTTGTGTTTTCGGCAGGATATAAAAATTCGAGATGAGCGCGTGTCGCTGTTACGTCTTGATCGTAGGAATTTTAGGAGCCGTGGGCGCAGAATGGAACACGAAGGATTATATGAAACGCGAACACAGTCTCATAAGACCTTACCAAGGTAGCGTTACGTTTAATTTTTCCCATTTTCAGGTATCCGAGTGCGAAAATCCCTGCGTCATCCTCACCCTTGACACGATAAATATTCCGAACGTTCGCGCGTTTCCATTTAGTATACGTGATTTTAAGAATAAAGTGATATTTGGAGGTTATGACGCGATGCCCAGAGCTTATCACTGATACACCAAAATATTTGTTCCCAAACAGGTTCTGGAATGACGATACCTTATTGGGACTTTATGGGTAGTACTTTAGTAACGAACAATTATATACGACTTACACCTGATATCCAAAGTAAACAAGGTGCTATATGGAATACAGTTGTGCGTATCTTTACCCTTTTTAAATGAATTAATCTATGACAGATTACGTACGTATGAAAAAGTAATCGTTGATCCTGTACCTTTACAGCCTTGTAATGTAAGAAACTGGGAACTGCAAGTACACTTTAAAGTACACGGCAAAGGCAGGGAATTATTTGGAGACGGTTTTTCAATTTGGTATGCCAAAGACAGGATGGAAGGAGGTCCTGTGTTTGGAAATAAGGACTACTTTGAAGGACTGGCCATAATTCTCGATACGTACAGCAATCATAATGGTCCTCATAATGTATGTCTATTAGCAATGAATTAAATTGAAGCATTAATATATCTATATACTACATAGTGTTGAATTTTGTTAGTATATACATTATAATTGTCATTGATTTTTTTAGCATCAGCATCCGTATATATCTGCCATGATCAATAATGGATCACTGCATTATGATCACGATCGCGATGGGACTCATACTCAGTTAGCAGGATGTGAAGCTAAGTTTCGAAATTTTGAACACGATACTCATATCGTGGTTAGATACGAAGGAGATACTCTAACAGGTATGTCGAAGTAATATGTACCATTTTCATAAAGTACGAGATGATTATAAAAATCCCTAACACTCGAGTGAGTGATTACTTAGCAAAAAGAAGGAATTTAAAACCATTCGGGGATTTGTGGCACAACGTATTTATATCGATATTCGGAAGCTTAGTCTGTGAGGAATAAAAGTATATATAAAACTCGCAGCCTAAGAGACATGCTTGATGTACATTATGTTGTTTTATGTGGTGCTCTGTGTAAACGTCGATATTACAGTAAGACTTTACCCCGAGGCCTCCTGGCTTTCATCATGGAGTGCCTCCTCCTCGGCTAGCGGTATCTCTTCACTCTCTACCGTTTCATCTTTCTCTCTCTGCGCTTATTTCTACACGGCATGTCCCAAGCATAGACCCAAGTCACTTAGAAAATAGATTTTTGATACTCCTTGACTCGTGAAGCAGCTAATAGATAACTAGTTAACATTACAGTTTCATAGATACATTTTATTTGCATTTCTAATTAGCCATTACATTAGGCAAATAGGTTTTGACAGATCATTTGATAAAAATGATACAGCCTCATGGTAGCGATAATTAATCATGTCCAAAACCTGACATCTAACAAAACTGTCATTTGACCTGTCAATCGGCAAAAGAATTTTAACAAATCAAAAGCCCAACTAGTGACTACACTTTATGCAGCCTAGGCATCTTTTTAGAAATTCAAAATATTAGATTAAAGACAAGCATGTCAAGCTAGGATAGTTGCTAATGACTTTTTGAAAGTAACGACGCAGTTGCCACACCAGTAGCCAAACGTTTCATAAATATTTTATCACTCAGTTTCCACGGACCTTGAAAACAAAGCTGCTTGGAAGGAGTGCTTCATCGTTAAGGGGATAAAACTTCCCACAGGATATTACTTTGGTATTTCTGCAACGACAGGAGATCTCTCTGATAATCACGATGTCATTTCAGTTCGTCTGTTCCAACTGGACTTGCCAGGCGATGTAAGAATAATTTTTATCCTGTTTTTTTTCTTTTTACATATGTTTCGACAACAAATACTTAAATGTACACTTTATTATAGCCGAAAGATGAGGAGGATAGGTCTAAAATCGTACCCTCCGCAGCATTCTTCGCATCTCCGAGAGGTAAGTAAATATTAATTCTAGTCATTAATCTCATCTTACATCTGTCAACCATAACCGATGACTTTTACAGATCGTATCGATGATCCTCCATCAGCACCACTTAGCGGTATAAAAGTTTTCCTATTAATGTTGGTCGGTTCTGTAGCACTTATTGCCAGTGTCGTGATGGGCATTATGTTCTACCAGAAACGTCAAGAACATAGTCGGAAACGTTTGTACTAGTGACTAGGTAACCGTAACGAAATGGGCTCGTCGTGTTCGATCTCCGAAGACACTCCTCTACTTCGACATGGATCTGCACTTGCGAATCTCTCGTTCTCGTGCCTAAGAGAAATTCGAGAGTAGAGGACAAATCTAACGTGCCAGCATACCAGAGAAAGAGACTTGCAGTAAAACATTCATAGAGGCGATGCATCGGTAGTGCATTCGTGTAAAATGTCTTACTTTGTGTTAAAAATCGTGTCCGAGGCGCGATTTTAATCTTACCAAAGTACATAGTTTTATGTCGCCATAGCGACGTTTTCCTACACTTTGCCAGATATTTGCGACAATGAGAAAACGAAACAAATCCCTTGTTCGGAAGCTTTCTAAATTCTTGTATGTACCTTCGACAATGTTGAAAATTACCCGATTGCAGTGGTACTGTATATACGATTTATTAGCTATCGGATTTTTGCCTTAACATTCGCAAAGATGAATCTAGAAGTATGCATAACGATTTCACGAGAATCGCGGAAGGTACTCGTTTTTATAGTACGTTGGTTACAGACGATTTCTTGGCCTATCTAAAATCGCATTAATTCTGGAGAAGCGAAACAATGTTTTGTATGACCGTAATTGAGCACGCAGCATGGCAAGACCATTCGTGTTCAAATTTTTGGTGAACTTTGATTTTACAGACTTTCTACTCCCTTCGAAGAGTATGTATATATACATATGTTTCCCCCTTTTTTTTTTCTCGAAAACATCACGTTTGTAGCCTAATTAAAGTGGTGTTAATCACGGATGTACGTTGAAGGTGATTTCGTATTTAACGTTCGATTTAAGGAATTTAAACGAACCAATACGAGGTTCGTATAGTTTTAGTGATTTGCAAATTATGCGTATTGTATGCATCATATTTTTTTTTTTTTTTTTTTATTAAACCGTTACCTGAAATATGGAAATATTATTTCGAGTGGAAATGGATGATCGAACAAGTCTTCGCTACTTCTTCGCTAGGACCCCTCGAAGTATATATTTCGATATGTACGTTCAACAAGATAATAATGTCCGTATTTAAGTAATATAAGTATATATAACTATTAAAGCAAGCCGAAATGGTTCTAAAGTCTTTTAAGGTATTTTATCGAAAGGAGGGATTCCTCTGTCGCCCGTAAGTAAATGTAGCCGAAGAGGTGGAAAAAAAAAAAGATACAAAAATACTGTACTTTATATTTGTATATGAGTAGATTGTAATCGATGTATAAACCATGGCAGGGGAATGTAATAGTACGGTAGAATCGAGGAGAATGCGAATTCCGCAAAATGTGACTAGACATAATATTAAACCAGACATCGCCGTTACGTTGGGGGGAAAAAAAATATATCTGCCGATATCTTCAACGTAAGCTTCAACGAAATACGTACATACTGATTCAATCCGATGTTAATCTATTTCAATGAGACTCCATCGAGGAACAGATTATGTTTCGATTAGGCGGAATAAATTAACGAGTCGTTAATTTCTCGAGGAAATAATTACTTCCCTTTACTCTTAACTATACAGATTCATAAAAGAAATCAATTGGCACATTTTGTATATGAATATGTTATCCTAATTCTAACGAAGTGGATATCTCACCTACGTTTCTCTAAGATCTACGTCGGGATCAATAAAGCTATTAGTCGAACTAAGTACATCAAGGCACATCTATCTCCCATTTTAGCCTTTCCCTTCAATTTTGGTCGCTATTGTCATCCATCAAGGTAACAAAGTGCCGCCTATCTCTTCGAACAACGAATGACAGACGAGCACTTTAACTTTCCAGAGTCGTTCGATTCTAAACACGTAACACCGATATAGTTCCTTAGTACCTTGTGGGTACCGTTCTTTAATTCCCATTACTTTTGTACCACTACTACATGGATGTGCAGTTGCAAAATCTCAAGACCTAATGACAGTTCGACAGTACAATAGAAGTCTACAGATTTTGCCAAGATTGTGCACAAAACCGGTCACGTTCTAACTCCAACTGTAAATAATACGAGCGATGCAGTGGAGGTATCACGACCGGAACGGCCTTAAAAAAAAAATCAATCCTCCCCCACATCTCGGAAAACTCTGGAATAAAAATAAACTCCCTCTTTTCCTCTTGTCGACGAGTGGAAACGGAATTAGAAAAATATTAGATTCACTCTTCCTCTGACTCCGACCTCTATAGTGGCAGTAGCGTTAGGAAAATATATTGTTCACAGGACCGTATAGATATATTCTCCAGAATATGAGATAGAAGTTTCTCAACGAAATCTAACTTATAAGTTTAAACTTCATGTACTTATGCGAGGATCCAAAATGGCAAACGCTCCAAGTATCCGACAAAAGTGATCCTTAGGACGTTTGGCATTTTTCCCTTCTTACGATCTAGAAAGAGGTGACTCGACGATATCCCGATAATAAAAAAGGCACCCGTATTGTTTCTAAACTCGTATGAATATCCATTTTCAATACAAATCTAAAATACTGAAATAGAAGAAAATTAGATATTCAATCCCTTTGCAGAGGTAGACTTAGATCGGTCATGGTACAACACGTAAGAAATTAAATTTCATCTTAAATCAATCATGCAAATAACTAGGATTTCCCTGCGTTCAGTCAATCGAGAGGGAGGATGATACAATTATTTAAATATTACCAAGGGATTGAAAAGGAAATTGAGGACAGTTTTCACGCCAAGATAGATGTCGTGGACAATCGCTGTCAACGTGATTTGGTATCTGTATCGTTTGTAGGATTTCAAGTCATAAATATGACAAGCAAGACAACCGACTTCTTCTAAATCTATCTGAGGTTTCGAACCTCCTAAAAGTGAGTCGCCCTGTAGGCCAGTATTCATAAGGACCCCGGAAAACCAGATCTTATCGCCTGGGTATATACTTAAACTAAAGTTCGTGAAGGAGTGGTCTGCGATAAGCAGGATTTGTGCATTGCTTCCCCACATGCCACTCTTCATTTTTACCGAAATCTCGAATTCGTACTTATTCCAAGAGGACAAGTGACACCGATGTCTCCATTGTTGAACCCTTATTAGGGTTTGACATGTTTTACGGTTAAGCTCGTCACCCATCTCACACTTTTCCTTATAAGGTTCCCCGTATGAGCAAAACAATGGTATCCTGACATAATCCGGAAGTCTATTAAGAACCATTGCAATATTATTCTGTATGGTCTTAACTTGAATATTTGTAACGTAACCTTCCCAGGAAACTGGTACGCCTTCCAAATGAGCACATTGAATTTGGACCCTGGCCTTTGACGATGATTCCTCCCACGCAGGCTGATGGCAATGATTTTGATAGTGCTCCCAGGATAAAGCAGGGATTGATTCGTACGAGCTTGCACTCATGTCCCTTCTATGAGACATTATGATAGGCCACGATAGGAATATAGCTGCGGTAATTCCAAGGAAAAGCTGAAAAATATACGATAAAATTATACATAATATTAAACGTCAGATGTATGTACCCTAGAAAAGTGGGAAATGCAATAACCTGTATTAAAGTGATGATCCAGTTGAACCTTGGAACTCTAGTTCTTCGAACATACCACGAAGCAATGAAAGGTACTCCACCGATGAGTATGGTAACGGCAGCTCTCATTGCGAAGTCACTTTCAGGGAGATATTTAGTAGCAGCTATTATGGGCAGAACGATAGAAGCTAACCCAGCGAGTGGTAAAAAGAGCACCATCCCAACTAATGCAAGAGCACCCCTAATCAACCCGTACCATGTAGCAGCTTGTGAACTGAGTATAGCTATTTGCCACCAGCTTAACGTAACGCAGTGTGGTATGAGTGTTTTGTAAGTTCCTCGCCAGCCATCTCTTGCTGCCATTTTTGCAAATACAGCAGGTATCAGCAAATAAAATACGGCACGACAGTTTAAACAGAACTCTATGCCATTGCCGACGACGTATGAAGCGAATGTCGGGACCCTTATATCTAAAAACCTCCATCCTTGTGTCACGACTAGGTCAGCCTCGTAGGGATATTTTGCAAGTACGTGTACCGCAAAACTGAAGAGAGCTAAGAAATCAGGTGCATTGGATGCATCTTTCCACATGAAATTTACCAGTGTGATCTGAGTCAAGGTGAACGCTATAATAGTGAATTCTGACTGTGGCGTCCATTGATGAGCTATGATAGGATATATCATTAGATTTAGTAGCAAAGCTAGAAAATACTGAGCATAAGGTTTTAGATTATTTCGACAGAACTGATATTCAGCCTCTTCGGGCTTTAAGTTGCCTCCGGAGTAGCTGAGGAAGAGGCCAGACCAGACGCGAAAATCTGTCAACTCGCGTTTTCTGTGCAACATTTGGAAGGTTGATATTACCATGACTGTGAAGGAGATATAATATAAAACTGTAGGAATGAAGAGTATCAGGTTTTCCGTCCCGAATAAAAAATATAACAACAAAAGAAGAAGCGTGTGCACGTCTCGCACAAAGAATATCTTTTTGATTGGTGCTCCACGGCGACCCAGAGTTTCAACCAACCAGACGTAAAGACGTTTTAAAGAAGCTAAAGGATGGACGAAAGGTCTTTGAAAAAGAGGAACGGCATCTAGAGCCATCTGAGACGGATCTACCATACACAGAGAACGAGACACTATCGGAAGCAAGCCACGGGCATAACTTGTTGCAGCTGAGACTAGTACTGCCTCCGTTATCTTTTCACCTCTGTGGTACAACCAATCTGCAATAAATAATTTATATTAGGAAATTGAATTTTAATTTAGTTCCGATTTATCGGATATTTTATATGATCAAATAATGTTTAATTACCTTGTGACGCGTCGGCGATCCTCTCATTGTCTTGATAGGAAGTAGAGTGGTCTGAAACGGTGTCATTTGCAGAGGTAGCTTTGTAGGAATTACCCAGTGACTTTTGAGAGTTGCTCGAAGAGTAATTTTCTGATCGAGAATAGCCATCTCTGCTTGTGGATGGGAGATTAAGATCTCGCATCCGCCTCTGAATTTGTTCTGTAGTTATGAAATCTTCCCCATTGGACAGACTGTCAGAAAATCAGAGATTTTATTAGTGGAACAAATTTTAAACCTGTAACAAGTGTCTATTTCTTTTCCAACCTGGTGAACATTTCTCGAGCTGCTCTTCTGGCTAGTTTCTCGTCCTGAGACATGTCCAAGCACCTCTTTACATCATAATAATTATACTCGGTGATTCCCCGCCCAGTAGCTAAACATTTCCTCAGTATGTCCGTGGCTTCTAAGTTTCCTTGCTCCGAAGCCTTAGTCAACCAGTAAACGCTTAACTTGGCATTTTCCTCGCTATCCACGTCTCGTTCTTGAGAAACGGTATTTCAAAAAATTATTTCCAATAATTCAGGAAAATAATTTTAAGCCTTTACGTGAGGATAGAAGTCTTACCACATTTTTCTTCCAAAAGTTCTTTAGCCAGAACGACCTGAGACTCTGGACAGCCATCTTCGGCCAATTGAGATCGTAACCCTCTTAGAGAAATACGTGGACTATCTGCACCCGAACACACAAAACTGACATAAATAACTTAAATAAATAAAACCTCCCAATCAGCCATAACCTCACAAGCCATAACATGACAAGTACTGGTACAACGTATCGTATCGTTACTTGTCAATGTCTATCAATGACATTCTCTCTCAACATCGTCATGAGTTTGTGTCTTGTAAACACTTGACAAATGACGTCAACTGGTGAATACGAGAATGAAATGAATTAAATGACAGATTTAAGTAAACCGAAGGATCGATAGTTGTCAGTGGGTTGTCAAAATTGACCCAGTGAACGCGTGGCCTATTGAGTATTCAACTTTTTTATATTTAATCGCCCGAGCCAAGTACTCCGGGGAATTGGTTTTGGAGGTTACGTTACCGTGCAGTGTCCACTGTTTCCGGCCAGGCCTACCGGCCACCGGCACCACGCCGGCCATTCTTCTCAAAAGAAACGCTTGAAGATCGGAAATAACACGTTCATGAGCACAAGAATCCGAGCCGACCCGGACAGTCTCGGACCAGGATCAACCTGGACAATGTCAAGACGTCGAAACACAATCAGAGATGAGTTGGGAAATTGCTCACGGGATGGGTCGCGTGAGCGCGAGGCTGCCCTCGGTGGAGAATGTGGACGACTAATGCACTTACCACCAGATAGCCCCCAATGGCGGTCTAATTCAGGGATCCTCCTCATCTCTGCTCCCAACTCATCACTTTGATAATAAACATTATTTAACATCTCTTATTCCGTGAGCAATCTCCCAATTCATCTCTGTTACGTTCTGGAATCGCCACTGTAGGCTACAGTCTTTGTTCCAACAGTCGAAACTGGAAAGTTCGATATATCGAATGAGTCGCGTACTCGATTAAACTCGAGCGCTCACTGCAAGATGGCGCCGACGTGATGTTTTAAACAAAATAGAAATGCAGACAATTCTGAGGGATCGAACAGGAGGTAAATTAAGAGGACATTATAGATCCAGAGGTGAGAGAAAACCAATAAATAATTCATATTTCTTACTAGTTGAATGTTGTCGAGTTTAATTCGTGCACGAAATATTTGAACATCGAACGATTCATTCTATGAAATCGAGTGACTAAAATTATGCTTAATATATTTCCATGTGATAAATCATTATTTTCCAAGCGATAAAAAAAAAATTGAACGAGTTAGTACGAAGCAATGCGATAAATTACCAAATTTATACACAAAATCTGGTGTTCGGTATTACATCGCTCGTCTTCGTCTTAGCTAATTTTATATAATTTTAATATACAATTGGAACTCAAAGTGCGATATTGAACGGAGTCTTTCGGTGATTGTTTATCAGCAATCTTCCATTCATTGGAATATTAAAAGACAGATTCCAAAAATGCGCTTCAAATTTCATTTCAGATGAAAGCACCGTTGTTATGTATAATACAATTCGCATTAATAATCCGATACAAACGTTTATACATGAAAACAGGTTCACTACTTTGGGGAGAAAATCAATCGATCATCGAAATTCTCTCCAAAATGCAATGACGCTTATCGTACACAGAGGCACGTAACTCATGTAGCTTTTAAAAACTTATCGGAGTCATGTAGATATGTATATATATATATATTATATTTCCGAAATTGTTTAACTGCGACATCAAGACATTCGACTTTCTCGAAAGCAACAAACGCATTTACAATAGTTTGGTAAACTATTACATGGAATTAATCGGCGTAGTCAATAATTGCCTTGATGCGTTTTTACGGCAAAGTCATGTATATTTACAGTAATTTTTTCTCCTTTTAAAACGCGTTAAATACGACAATAAGCGAGTTTACGCATGTACATAGAGGCAGAGAAAGAGAGTAGAAAAATAATATGTTTACTGATTATTTTGTAGTTTTCTGATTAGAATAATTTTTTACTAATTATTCGAGGTATATGTACGTGACTCCGATTGGAATCTTCGCGAGTTTCTCCTTTTTTTTTTTAATCGCATTATCATACATTCTTCTATCACTTCTCACAACTTTTGCGAGAATTCGCGGGATTTACGAGTAGCTGAATCTTGCCAAAATCGCCGTGAGGATCAAAAGCGAAATCGAAGAGATTCGGAATACTGACTCCGAGCCTGCAATCACAATTATTTCCCCAAATTAAATTAAATACTTAATCGTAAATATTTTAATTTATAATATTTACCACTGCACATTAAGTTCTCCTCGTAATATCCTTCCATACAGTAACATCGTTTTCCTTGGGTGTTGTTTCCTTGAACGCAATTAGCACCCTCGCTGCATTCCGAATCCTCGTTGCAAGGAGCTCGAATCGCTGAAATTATTAAAAAATTTTTATTCCCCTCAATACCGTTTACTGACTCACGTAATAAAGAATGATTTCCGAAAAGACATGTTCCCCAAAAATTGACATTCATAAAGTGCATTCATGCGAACGTGGTGAAATTTTCACGTTCCCTGGTCGATCGAGTTGATTACAAAACTTTGATGCTACCCCACAAATTGGCAGCCATTAACAGCTTAACTGCTATCCATTAAATATACAGTGTCTGTAATATGCACAATAGACGTTCTGTAACTTCTGCACGATCTAGTTATTGCTTCCTGACATGCCACCAGTAATTTCGAATGTTTAGGCCTCCACTATACTCTTTACGCACGGAACCCCTAAAAACCAAAACTGACATTTTCTGATCCATTGTTTATTCCTTTTATTTATCATACGATTAGTCCCGCGACTGGAAAGAGTTATATCCTTTAGTTTACCGCAACGATAATCACTTATGGAAAATCTTGTTACCTTTAAATTTGTTGTTGCAAACACCGTTGATTGGTGCTGTATAATCTCCGCAAAGGCACCTGTACCTTCCATCTCGTGGATCTGACATACACGTGGTGTTCTGAATACCTGCACAATCAGACTCCATTCTGCATTCTCTTGCTTTTCCGACTAAAACCGAAAATAATTAGATTACAATAAAATCAGACAAAATGAAAAATTGTCCACGACACATTGTCCGTGGAACAGGGATTTTTTCTTAATGATTGGATGACATGTTGATAGGGGATTTAAGCCTCACATAATTTAACCCGCTTTTCAATGACACACAATAGGACAGATATATATTTTTTTTTGTTCGGTGCCTTGGGCTTCATTCTTCAGGGTGGCAGTCCTGGTATTCAGCAAGACATTAGCATGCATCTACGCTTAGCGTGGCCTTGACACTCGAACGTAAGATCCCCCTACAAGATTAGTACCCTGTCGTATCGTGGTCACCTGGTTAGTATTATAGTTGCTTGTCGCAAAAAAAAAAAAAATGATATGATGTCGATATCACAAAACATAATTTGCGCCCAACGAACCGCGCCAAACCAAATGAACAAAAATGAGTAATCACTCCTTAACATGCGATCATGATTTCAGGCATGAAATTGTGCAGTTAGATTTTTTTAATACTCAGGGTGTAATATAAAAATGAAGTGTCAATGTCATGGAGGGAAAAGCTGTTACTGGTACACGGAGAAAATAAAAATAACGGAAGAGATCGTTGTAAATTTTTATCAATGCATGCTGCTTTGGTTTATTTAAGAGAGGTAATCATTGAAACGATTATTGAATTATTTTTCCCTTGAATAAATTTTTGACGATTGCAACTTCAGAGTTGACTTATTACCACTTGTGTACGTTATGTAACACTTTTACGTACATTGACATGGATACATTGTTACATATTAAAACAGACCTTGAATGCAATCTACACAACTGTACATCCTATTCTCTTTACATAACTACGTTTTCAAATCTTTGCTAATAACCGGTTACCTCCATATCTCGAAGGGAAAATTATCGAAGTAATATTTGGAATGTAAAATCGATCGGAAAATTAGCTTCCGCTGTTAGTCGACCTCGGAACAACAATAATACCGCGTAAACGCTTGCAGGGTCGTTTCTTTATTGATTATAAAATTTAACTACCGCCGCGGGCAAAGAGAAACCAATTAAAAAATAAACCTCCGAGAGTAAATATATAAATCAAAGTTTTCTACAGCATTAAGTCGTCTGCAAACAACAATTACCGAGAATTGCTGTCGACACTTCACCCGCAATTAAAAATTCGATTCATTGAACGAAATCGTCCAATTAACTACATTTAGTTCACTTCAGAAAACGTTTCGGTTGGGTAAACCAAAAATCGGTTCGCATGACCAAACTACTTTGTTTCAATGAATTAAAATCTTTCCGATTATTAATTCTAGAAAATGTTGAACCAACTCAAATTTTGAGTTAAATACATTTCAGCGAATGGGAACCTTAGAAAATGAAAGAAAAGTCCCGTAAAAATGATATTAATGTCGCTTGAATTTTTTTCGGGGACCTTACCCGGTGTTGGGGGTGGAGGCGGATTTTGGTTTTGGTTTTGCGGATTTGTTTTCCCAAAGGTGGTAAGTCCATGTGCCGAAACCAGGACACTCAGGACGACCGAGAGGATCGAGATGATCTGGATCCTTGTGCCACCCTTCATGGTCCCGGTGCTCCAAATTTCCACGAAAAAGCAACCCTTCCTTTTGGAACGAAACGTACGCCCCGCGAACACTGGATTGAATTTATCTTACTTTTTTGGTTTCGCTTATAAACAATTTTTCCCGAACTATTCGGCGACTTTTGGCGAAAGCTTTCGCGATCTCGCGTTGGAGGGAAACGATATTTAGGATCGAGTTTGCCTTTGGACGGTTCTGAACAGTTTCGTGGACTGCGTGTCGGAAAGGCGTTGGAGGCCTTTTAAGCCTTCGAACCATCCCCACCTCTGAAAACACGCGCCTCCACCTTTGGCAACCACCTACCCTTATAACCAAAAGGTGGTTAACCAACCCCTGCCGAACTCAACGTCACAAGTCCAGTCCAATCGAAGCTTACTACTGACTGGATTTCAGAATTTTGCATAAAACCTTGTTTTAGCCTGCTGTGAAAGTAACAAAAATTGTACAAAATGATGCACCTGATTTCCAGGATCTGATTTACTTCACTTTAAGGTGATGTGAAAATGCCGTCAGAGGTCTTGTTGCCGCAAAAAGTTACCGCTTAACATGGGAGGCGGACATATTCGGTCAAAAATGAAGTAACAGAAGCAACGAGTTAGCAGGTGAAGTGAAAAATGAACTGCCAGCAGTAATTACAATGAGAGATCGATTGTTAAACGGGCTCGTCAAGAAAAGTGGAGCAAAGTTACGTTTAAAGGACGGCTGACCTCCGCAAGCTTGTCGCACTTAAGAGCTTGCACCCTATGCAAGTCGCCTTAACGATTAGCTCAAAAAATTCTGCAAAAATGACTGCTTCTTTCCTGCAATTTCGAACATATTTCGAGCTGGAAAGAAAGCGACTCTAATTACGGAAAAGTGTTCAAACGTACGAGAGACAATGTCGAACAATCGTCGAGGTAACAATTGATCGCCTAATAACTGAACAACGAAGACGCAATCACACAAACGTATTAGAAACGCTATCGGGTTTGCGTAGTTGCATAAATTGTAACGAATTACCATAAAGTTCAAGGTCTATGCGCATGTTCGCGATTAATGCATTAAACGAGAGTTAAACGTGATTTCTTGAAGGCAATGTCTCGGATTTTCACTCACTCGAAGAGACACCTCTTAAACGATTTACTTAGAAATTACTCCTGAAAAATCATTGTTATAAATCCATAGAATTCTTTTGCACTATGTGCATAATTTACTTGCAAACATGTTGACGTGTGAATGTTATGAGTTATGTTACAGCGAAACTTATTTAAATATATCTTCTAGGTAGATAATGTTTTTTCTTGTGGAAGGTATAAAAATCTCGGAAGAAGTTTCACAAAAGAAGTCTTTTCTTCGATATGTCGATCGTTACGTTTACATGAAAAAGTTCCTACCGCAATTACATTGCAGAAGAGCTCTCGACTTATAAATATTTCTTTACAATTCATTAAACGTAATGCGTATGTGGTGCTTAAAGTATCAGTACGCCTATTATAAGGAATTTATTCTAATTGGATTAGACGGTTTGAATTTCAATGGATTTTCTACGGAATTTACGGAATCCTCGCTAGAGACAAGATCGTGCTGTATATTGTTAACGTATGAAAAACGATTATGGAGATAGTTTAAGCGAGCTGGAAGATCCATCCTCAAATTTGACCGTTGCCTTCTTTCCTCGTTTATTTGTTTCTCCTTTATTGTCTTCTGGGCTTCGAGAAATGTTCGCAGGTCCATAAGGTTTCGCAACATGTGATGAACATTCTCGGATGAAACATTCTCACGATCGACTGGAATGAATAAAATGAATGTATAAAATTTGAATCGACAAGTGTCGCGATAATGTCGAAATTTCAATATTCAGGATTCAGGAGGAATCATCGACTGATGAATTTTTTTTTTTTCATCGTCGAAAATAGTCTCCAAATTGTACAAATTAATATCATTTGATACTCACTTTGCTTCGATTGCGTGGATTCAATAGATCGTCTACTTCTCAAATAAGGCTTTTCTTGAAAATATTGTGCCATTATGTTGTCGTAGTATGCCATCGATCTATTCCATGGGTATCGTACCCGAACATTGTCCCAATTGTAATTATGGTAATACCCATAAGGTGTCAGTAACCCACTTCTGAAATTCGGTTGCAAACGACGTCCATTATAATTTGGTGACATTTCATCGTACTCGTCTAGCAAAGAAGGTGGCATCACGTCGTCATCTGAAAAATCAGGTGTTTCCTTCTCTATGATTGACCCTTCATCCTTATCGTCATCAACGGTCGGCGTCATTGGATACGTAGATGGGATGGTGTCAACGGTATCATCATGTGAGTTGAAAGTTACCACAGGCGTCGATTTCTCGTCACCCTGGTCATCAGCAGGGGAGAAATTAAGTCCATGTTGAAAGATCGCCTCAGAATCGTCATCTCGATCTTCATCACTCTGATTATCGGGAATTGAGAAATCACGATCAGGTTGAACAGTGACCATTTTCCCAAAATCATCAAGCTTCTCTTCATCATCCTGATCATCGGAAGTGGACAAATTAGCCGTAGGTTGGGGGACCAACTTCTTGAAATCATCATCTAGACCTTCCTCCTTCTTTTCATTCATATCTTCGTCGTAATCGTAGTACCGTTCATGATACATCATTAAAAACGGTACAGTTGAAAGAGAAGGTGCGACAGAAACTGCGGTCTGATCATCAAAACGCGAATTTCCCTCCTCGCTTTCATTCGCCTCCTCATCTGTCCGATCGAAATTGAAAAACATCATCTGTGTCGGATCCCTGGTAGATTCTTCTTCCTGCAGATCCCTAGAATCATCAATCTCCTCACTCCCCATTCCTTCTTCATCGGTAACAGTTTCCTCTTCCTCGGTCATTCGAATCAGCTCCATGATCAGCGAAGTCACGGAGCTGATGATGTTGTTCAGCTCCAAAGACCCAATTCGCTTCCCCCCTACCATCTCGGAACCATTCTCGTTAGCTTTGGATGAAAGCTCGTTCAACTTGTCCAGTAGAGGTTTTAAGGTCTTCGAGCATTCCTCTTTGCTCCTTTTCGAAGACACTTCCTTTTTGGCTCCCTTAAGAGTTTCCCAAATGGATTCATAAAGGGAATCGTTCTCCTCCGACTTGGCGACATTGAAATACGACTCGGGCTCCACCAGTAAATCTTCGTCATCGTTTTCGGAAAAGACGTAGGGGACTTTGAAGGAATTTTCATCCTGACTTTCTCCGTTGTTCGCCTTCTGCTTCTCTGACTGCACTTCGTCCCCCATGAATTTCATCACCTCGTCTTCTTTCATTAGTTTTGCGTTATCTTCAGTGGAGTAGTGCTTAGCGAGCATTAGAATCATGTCTATCAGTTGCTGCTCGTAGAAAGCGTCTTTCTTCCCAGATGAGTTGTAAAGTTGCAGCGTCAATTCCAAACTGTCGTCAGGATTCTGGAAGTTATCAGGAACTCCTGCTGTCCGTTCTTCACCTTCGTCGCTTCCACTTTTCTCTTTAGAAGACTCCTTAAAGTTTTCCCACGCAAGAGTTTCTGGCTCGAGTGTCTTTAGCCCCTCCTGATTTCCCTCAGCCACATCACCAGTCTTAGCGACTTCTTCGTTATCATTTCCTCCATTTTCTTCCCGATTTCGTGACCAAGTGTCTTGCTCTTTCTCGTTTCCTGCGCTCCTAACTTCTTCTTCTTTCTCTGGATGTCCGCCAATTGGATTCTCAAAATCAGCAATTTCTTCTCCCCGCGTTTGCGGTTCTGCACCTTCTTCCTTGAATGATTCATTTCCTGGAGATTCTGTTTGAGGATTGTCTTCAGAATCTGGAACCTCTGTCATTTCCTCGGTCTTAAAAAATCTGTAATTTGGGAATTCTACTTCGGGGAATTCTTCGTGTTCTTTTCTCTGAAGATCCGCTTCCTGAAGAGCTTTCTGCGCCAAGGCTGCCTCTTGGGCTCTTTCTTCGGCTTCCTTCCGTTTTGCTTCCCGAATATTAAATAACAGCGAGAGTCTCTTTAAGCTCGCTGCTGCGGGAGGTCCGTCATCATCGATGTCATGACTTCTCAGCCATGATTTCTGGTTCGAAATCCAGTAGGGATTTTGGGAACTAAAGTATTTGTTATGATATGCCCATAACCCGCCAGGCAGACCCTCTTCCGCATCTCTATCAACGGTCGTTTCAACCTTCGAATCCGAATCAATATTCTGCTGCCCTGACCCCATCAACATCTCGGCATTATCAGACCCTAATCTACCCCAACTACCTAACGACAAAACCCTCCACGGACGGGTTCCTATGTCTCCGGAAATCGGTTCTTCACCTCCTCCACCATTGGACCCATAATCCCCAAATAAATTCGATAAACCCAACATAGACCCAACTTCATGCTCATCAACCCGGTTCGGGTCTTCTGTATGATCATCCGATAAGGGGGACGAATGTTCCATGATTTCTTCAACTGCTCCCCCGCTATCAGCGGATTCTTTATCGTACTCGTTCCTCTCGTGCTCTGCAGCTGCCATGTTTGGCAGCGATTCAATGCCATCGCTGATAAACTCTTTGCTGTATGTGTTTTCATCCGACTCGTGTTCTTCGACTGACTTCCGCGTGGTCTCCAAATTTTCAATTTTATCAACGCCACTTGGCGACTCAAGGAACTTATTCTTCAGGATCATAGCAAAAACGTCATTCAATGCGTTCTGCTCCTCGCGGGGGGTCTCCTGGTTCTCGTTCGACATTTGACTGCTCAACATGTCTGTGTTTGTACCCAATATCGTGTTGGCCTCCAGGTCCATGTTCTGGATTTGATAAGCCTGCCATCCTGAGTAACATGCCCAGCCCACGAAGAGTAACAATTCTACGTATAAGACGAACTTTATCGTCTTAATTGTCCAGCCAGAGAGACAGCTTTTGCTTCTCCATCCTGACGAAACGCATTTCTGCTTGGCGTGTCCCTCTTCCAAGGACAATAATTGATCTGTATTTAAATTACAAGTTGAAAATATTGAGAAAAATTGTTAGTATTCATACTGGCAGAACACGTAAAATCTAATTGTTAGTTCTGTCGCGATAAGCAGGTACATTTGTAAAAACGGGTCATCGGAAAAATTATTCCTTTTGCGAGAGTTTGACGTAATAAATATTAAGGCGATAACTTATTATCAACTGACGCGTAGTGCATTGTACTATCTCCTCAAAGAATGGTGGCTGAAGTATGTAATAACCCCGATAAACGGAAAGTATAATGAGACGGGTACAGTTTAATGAATGCATACTCCATTAATGAATACTTTAGAATGCACTATTCCTTATTAATTTTCAAAGAAATGGGACATTTTAAGTTTGCATGTCACTCGAGTGTCATTTCATCCAAATGTTATGTGGAATGTTATATTTTCAAAAGACGGGATGAATGTAAAATGGATAAGAAGGGAAAAAAAGACAGGACGCACCTTTGCTCGTGGAAAGCTCCTTCATGATGAACGCGCAATGGCGAACTGAAGAACCAAAGGCTCCTCGAAGAAGACGATCTCTATTGACAACTCGGTATTAACCTCGACCTGGCGTCCAGTTTAGAGTAAAAAGAGGAAAAAGGTCGACTCCGCTGATAAAGCCAACTGTTCCCCGAACCCCCGAGAATCCATAAGGAAGATGTTCTGGGGTCATCGTCTATCTGGGGTCATTCGTCGCGATTCGTCTCTTAGTCAACGAAAACCTCCTTCGTTTCTGATTGTTGTGCAGCTACTTAACATGTCAAGGTAGTTGTAACATTGTTATCAGGTGCACGATAGGCAAGAATATTTATAAATGATCCGGAAACCGTGTATCATCCACCAGACTCCTGCAGAGGTGATTCTGGGCACTTCTTTAGATAAGATGATAAGGACTTTTATCAAGGATGTTTTCGAAATGTACGATGCAAATTACGTGTTTCTCAAAACGAGACCTTTCATGAGTGAACTATGAATTTTGCTCTTGGCAAGCCACTTTGCTTCGGAGATGTAAATTAGCTGAAGACAATTTGTGCGGAATTTCTTATAGCCGAGAATTTTTAATTGCTAAAGAAAGCGATGAAGTGGATGTTGAAAGTTTCTGAAATTGAGAGCACATTTTCATGCAATCCTGAGATGAGATCATACTTCACGATCTGTGGGTGGATGTCAGTTGCGTACGGTCGGAGTAATAGATTCTTTTTCTACTTAATCAAGTAGAGCATCTTCTACAGAGGAAATGATTTATTTTCGGTAATTTTGTAGAACATTCTCACAATCACAGTAATTTTCCTTTCACTTGGTGCCGTGTTTTTTTTTTTTAATCTGAAATGGGTTCTGTGACAAACTCAGCAACTTGATACGATATCATGACGGCCAATTACGATAATAATTTTGTTAAGCAATAAGTAAAAAATAAAGATGGGCAATACAGAATTATATAAACTTATATTATAAAAGCTGCAGCGGAAACAATAACATTTTTAGAACGTACCTGAATGTTAACCCAACGTGTAGATAATGTAATTAATTTTTAACAGTACAGCTGTAACAGCCTCCCCGCATTATTTATTACAGAATCTCTTCCTGTGGCTCGATATCACGAAGAGAATATAAAATAGCTGAAAAGGGAACTCGTTTAAACAAACAATACACGTTCCAAAAATAATGTTCTATATTCTCGCCGGATTTAATCTGTTTGTCAACTTTACCTTTCCATCCGCATAATTACTTTATGTGGACATAATTGAGATGGCAATTCATTTTGGTAATTTTTCTTCGCACTTAGAGACACATCTAAATTCACCGCAGTTATCCGTAAGAACGACACTCAAGAAAAATGAAAATGGAGGGAAAAGTACTAAGTAAAGCGTACTTTTGCGAGTCACTTAAGGACGTGCCTTACGATTCGCGTGACAAACGAGACTGAAGTGACGATGTTACATCAAAGGTTTCGACTTGATTATTTAAATCAGCTACGAGAGGTTGTTAGAGTCAATTCACGATGATGTTACGGCTTCGACACAGCTCCGCCTAGAATTGCTCTTTATTGTTTGCGATCATATGTAATGGCTTACGAGCGGCTCGGTTACTTCTTAGTAATGATTATATGTGCATTCTAAGGTTCGGGTTTATTTATTAATACACCCCCAGTCACAACAAGGGTCTATTTACGTCAATTTATTTAACGACTATCGCTGTGCCAGGAACGATTTTTATCAATTATTTGACAAGCGCATGTAGGGAATTTAATAATAATTCCCTGATAATTTGTTAAAAGAAAATGGCTGAACTTTATTATATTCAAATGGCTCTAAAATCTAACGAAGGTTGCGATACATTTCGTAGGAGTGTTTCCTCAGTGCACAAATTCCAAGACAATCGACACGTTACTTTTCATTCTTTGTCACACATTTTCTCCAGTGTAGATATGTCTGCCAAACCGACACAAATCCCGACAAAATGGCGGGTAAAGAGTTTAACTGCGCCGTAAAATGGATTGCTACCTTATAAGGTCAGTCAGGGAGTGCGATAAATCAATTTGCATAAAGAATGCGCAATGTTGTGCACCTAGGGTCGAAGGGATAAGAGCAGCCCCGGTGGAGGGGTGGACATAAAAATTAACGAGTTAATTAACAGCAGAAATGGGCGGTAAGGAGAGACAGCCTTGACTCTTCGTGCTTTTCCGCACGTGAAAAGCTTGCGATTTCGATCCGCTCCCTTCCGGTCGCGAGGCGGAATCGGAAAGTTCCGCCGCGAGGGAAGAAGGGAAAAAAAAATGTAAGAAACTCGCCAAGGGCTCGTAAATGCAGTGCAATTGCATCGGACTGCCGTAACGTGCAGTTGCCGGGTGCGTTGCAATTTCTGCGATGGCAAATCCCCGATAAAGAGCACAAAGGTGCCGATTTTAGCCGGCGTTGCACGTACGCCCGAGCACAGTTTCTTCGACACGTCGATAACGCGTTATCGCCCAGAACCCACGGCCCATAAACCTTTTCCCACTTCACCTAATGAGTCCCCGACGTCGTGCAGGTTTTTTGCACATATCTTTGAAAGTTAAATGAGACTTTATAAGTGGACCTCTGGCCCACTAAACACCCCAGTGAGTCCTAATCTAAAAACAGCAAATGGGACGTATACATCGTGATAGTTTAACATGCGGATTAAATTTCCAGCTTACCAGCCGATCTGCATTTGTTTCCCTTATTTTTTATTTTGATGAAAATCGATTTTTCAACGTCGACATTTTTACGTCGGGTTAAAAGACGTTGACGACGGAAAGTATCAAGGTACCAATATCGGTTAACTACGTGAAATGAGGCTACTCGTTCCTTGACACGACGATAACTCGTTATCAGGGCCGATTATGGATAAACCTCCTTTCACCTCTGGTTTTTCCTTCAAAGAGTTTATTAACTTAATATTATACGTGCGTGAAATAATTCTCAGAGTATTAAACATTAAATTATTGAGATGGAGCGATTCCAAAGCGTAGTTCGATCGGAACCCTGATCGATCATCGTCATCGAAAATGTACTCCTCAAAGACATTTCAGTCCTCATTAATACAAATTTACTTGTTAACTTGCAACTCGGCCTCTTTTCGATAATTCAAGAGCTTTGTCTTCCATTTTTAATGAATAAGGGAAGCTTTGAGCAATCGATCACCAAGCATGACGATTCAACAAATTTGTCATAAATAGTCGTAGCAATATATTTACCTTATACTCAAGTCATATGCCAATTATGCCATAACCGGAGCTCGCTTAAGCTGATAGGTCTGTCTAACCTTCTTAATCTATGTTTTCCCTACTTAATCGCATAATACCTAGAGCAATGTTAAGCTACCCCTAAAGCATGCTATTCAAGGGATCCACCCCATAGGGCGCCAACCAAGACAAGCCGATGAAAATCGCCCAACAGGAAAGAAGGTCCGACCCACGTTCCTAATCGCACCTTCGGATCCCGATAAGGGCCACGAGGGAACCCTGGCACGCAATCCGACTTTAAGGCATCCTTAAGCCACGGCATCGTTAAGTTACGTCACATAGTCCTAGTCATAAGGACGACGACGTCATGAACCACGAGGGGGTCAAGGTGGTCCCGGGACGAATTTCGCCTCGACCGTGTATTTTGCGCTCATAACTCGTCCATGTGACTGTACGTGCCTTTATGTACGGCGCTCCGTGACTATATATGACCGTATGTATGTAATTTACCGTACGGTACATCGACATACGACTTGCGCATACGCCGCGAGAACATGGGAACCTAGCGAAAGGTTAGGTTCGCCATTGCTTGGATATTCCTTATGTTGTTGGACGAAACTGTCGCCCGTCACGAAACGACTGAATCTACTTTGGCTCCCTTTCTGCCCCGAAGAAATGCTTCGGTGACATTTCCCCGACTTTCCTCGACTCCCTCTCGGGGGTGGGAAATTGATAAGGGCACGAAGACGCGTAATGGACAGACGTGTTAGGAGATTGTCATCTCTTCGTAGTAATTCATGTCACTGATATGGCAGGGAAAGTTCAATTGGGAGGATAATCGGACTGTTATAAGGGACATGTATGAGTTACCATCTCTTATCAGAATGTCATCTTGACGAGGGAATGGTTCCTGGCCAACCTGAATTAAATGATTCTTTTTTAAACGTGGCTTTGAAATATACATCCGTATGCATATGTTTATGTGCATCTGTATGTATGTATGTTTGAACGAGTTCCGATCGATGATGTGTTGTTTTTAACCTTTTCATTTTAATCGTTTGAACTTGGCTACTGGCAGCAGCAGTCATTTTGATTACTTTTAACCATTGCTTGGTTATTTTTAAATGATATTACTTCAACCGAGATGTTTTCGGCCGAGGGTGAAGTTTTGTTTTCTCAGGGTAAATATCATTTCGTTCGATGAAAGATGAGAGAAGATGTTCAAAACGTAGCGCGATAATTTCCTGCCACGGACAGTACTAATTCCTTGTAACTCAACAATTCCTTCAAATACTTTTCGGTGTTTTCGAAAACGTGTGGATAAATTATGTAAAATGGTCAAGTTCAAGGAAGTGATATGTACGCTATTTTTAAGGTACGTCGTAATTCCTTATGTTTATTTATTGATCACCGATTAATCTATTCTCGGAAGACTCTGGTCAAATGGACTTAATCGATAAATGAACTTCGCCTTGTTTAATGCATTCTGTAATTGCAGTGCACGCGTGACCACGAAAAGTGCTCACAACCATGTGTACTGAAAGTCGGGTTATATTAGCAAAGCAATTGATGCAATAACAAGAGAATAAGATCCCGCGTAATAAGAAAATATGAATTCGCGTTGTAGGGAATTTCTCTCGTATAACGCGTCTTGTCATTTATCGCGTTGTACGAAAAATTGCGCTATATGAAAACAGTACTCGGAATATTCGCGTAGTTAAAAACTCGAGTTATACAGAAATTACCGTACTTTCACCTGGCCAAAGGGCGCAGAAATTGTCTCGCCCGGGCGAAGGAAACGCTGTAAACGGAAAGGACGATCGATGAGCGGCAATACGTTGGATCCAATCAGAGGCCAGGAAGGTTCGAAGGATCGAAGCATCATCGAACGAAACTCGGGTTCACCGTAGGGTTCGTCGGGGGGTTCGCCAGGTTATTCAGGGAACGAAGTAGCCAGGGGATCCGAAAGGTCACACGCCAACGAGATGGACAGCCGATAGAGCGGCCCAACTCGGTTTCTTTCTTCGAGAAATGGGTCAGATTCTGCTTGCCGAACTGTCTGTCGGACACGAAGGCCGGAACGGACCTACGGTCAAGGGATCGAGCCTCTTCTCCTCTGATTCGGTGCTAAAACCAGCGCAAAGATGCTTTCGCGCCCTTGGATTCGTGACGTCGGTCCGATCGCTCCTGATAGTGTCCTCGATTCGGGAAATCTGAGGTCAACGATAACGGGGGTACCCTATCAATCGGGGGAAGAAACTCAATTTTCTCTCCTTTTTTTTCTAGTCACACATTGTTCACCGGCAATTTTACCACGCTGGTCGTTCCGGTCAACAACGTGTTAAGGTGATGTGAAAGTGACGACAAACGTTGGGGGAGTTTCACTTCACCTTAACCGAGCCTCTGCACGAATGAAAACCCAGAAAGACGGATTTAGAGTTCTACGGTAGTTTAGAACAGGCGGAGGCGTTTCGTGCAACGGAAGGACGGAAAGTTTTGCTATACAATGGAGAACGTATCTTATATTGCGACAATACTCGCGTTCAGAATGTGTCGCATTAATCACGGTGCGCTTTATTTTTGCATCCTTGGAAATAATAACACCCAGGTCAGCCGGGCAGTTTATTTAAATTAATTTCATATGCAAAGTACCCGGCGTATTAGCTACCTATGTGAATTCTTTCCCCCTCGGCGGGTTATGAATATAAATCCGCGGAATAAATGAAACTGGCATGTATCAGCGATAAAACGAGCAAAACCCTTCCGCGGACTTAAATAGATCGTCTCCAGCCTGGAATACAATCAATATAATATATGCTACAATAATACAATCATAATTTTTCGGAGTCTCCTGAAAAGTCCTCATGGAAGTAGGACACGAAGGGTGAATATTAGAAACATCGACCTTTCGTCATGATCTATATATTTACGTAGTAAAAGCTATTTTTCCTGGCACATTGCGTTTTTCTTAGGGGAGCGAAATCACGGCTGTTAGTTGTTGTTTCAAGAGTAAACTACACAGAGCAACGCGCGGCTAACGTGCTGAGCGTAATTGGAGAATCGATATCCCGGCGCATTTTACGAGTAATTTGCTTAAAAACGAGGTCATCTTATAATTCAAGCGTATGTATGTGAGACTATGCACGTAAAGAGTATAGTCACGTGCTGAAAGAAAACGCATGAGGCTTGAAAAAGATGGCGTCGCGACATCTGTCGGAAACTTGCCGAAGCGCGTCTACTTCGACCCACACTGACGATAATGATAAATTCATTCTTTTTTTGTGATTGTATGTCGTATCACTTGTAGGAACTGAAGTCTGTATTATTACATGGTGGTAATGTAGTTATATGGTAATGTACTCTTTTTGCATCTGCACAATCGATATAAATTTTGTATCTCAGTTACTGAAAATATTGAGAAAGGGAATGATTTTATTAATTAATAATATACGGATTCGGAAGACAGACCGAGAAATGAGATTGATTAAATAGTTAAGAGAAGGAAATACGCGCGTTCTCTGTCTAAAGTCAGGATCGAACTTCAAGGAACATTCCTTCCTATTCTTATCCTATTAATTTTTTGATGTTTATTGTATTTCGTGGCACCGATGGAGTAAAATCACCATATTTATGAGATCAGTCAGTAATTACCATAAAAGTTAGTCGTAATTACATTTAATGTTGCGCATTCATTTAGAAATCAACCCGGAAAACACGCGACTGACTCAGAGTTTCCTTAAGAAACATTCCTTGCGTGTCGCTAATTAATCCATTTTCATTAGATTGTTTTTATGCCTAAGTAATACGCCAAAAACAAATCGATGATTTCCTTCTTACAGATGATGCCAGTTTCTATTCGGTGGCACAGTTTTGTGCAACTTAAGATATCAACGCGGGATCGATAAATTAAAGAGCCGACTCGCATTTTGAATTCAAAGTGCTGGCAATTTTCATGAAAGTTCAGGACTCTGAATAGGGAGAAGAAAATCACTGCCATGTTTTTACCTACAAATCGTGTAAAGTAGTTTCTGATGAGGGATTTTATTCTGGGTTTTACATTTAACATTGGAACTCGCGGTTGTATAAAAATGATGATGAATTGCGGTGGAAATTTGATCCGGGGATTGCGCGACGATAATCATCCCCAAATTGGGAAGTAGTCCAATGGGGTTCGTATCGGTTGGGGTAGGTCATGTAAACGTCAGTTCGGCGTGAAACATGCCGTGTGAAATATGATCCTCCAATGTCGGGAATTATTAACGATTCTAAATTTAGGATGGGGCGCAATACGGCACAGTGATCAATTCGGAGCACTTTAAACTATTCACCGTGCTGCCGTGGCAACTGATCAACTCGAGGGCGTTCGCCAAGTTTTTTCTACTTTTTTATCGATGTAAATTAATTCAGATAAGTAACCATGGCATGTGGTAGATGTGCTTCCCAGGATTTTGCCCTCCTCTTCGTTGATCTTAAACAAATTACCCGTTTCGGAAAACATTTTCATTGGATGATGTATGTACCCCACTCTACCCTGGTACGTCCTTGCAAGTCTTGCGGGCATGAAGCAATTGTCTTCGATGCAAGTGACCACCTTTGAAAGAGCGAATCTTTTTGTTCCCTCTGCGGGAGTGCCAACGAACGCTTTCACCCTTTCGACGGTCTGCCACACCCTCGCCCTTAACTCACAATATCCCTTTGAAATTGTTCACGTACCCGCGTGCATTACACACCCTGCTGTACTCTTTGTACATTAAGCTCCGCGTGCGCGGTAAACCACGTGGACTGCAGTTCACCGACTCCAGGCTCGTTCTTTCAGAGATTCCACTTCTTTGACATCGATATCTTCATCAATATAATTCGTATAATTCTCAACGTAGACTGTAAAAAACTTCGACATAAATATAAATGTCGGTACCGTGACGTTCTCACTTGAATATTCAAAATGACGATCCCACCAAAATGTATAGATGAATCTTAATTTATCGACCTGGATTAAATTTCTCAGCGCCTTTCATAGCTTTTTAAGGCTTTTGTTCCCGTAAAAAGGAATGTTTACGGGTCTGAAGGGAAAAACGGATCCCAGTTGCATCGTACACGTCCGATGCATTTTCTATTTCCACGTCGGACAACTTCGGTGAAGCTTCGAACGCGGCTTGCGATATTGAACCACCCTAAAAGCTTCGGTCTCGATGGAGGCTGCACTTCCCTCTGAATTCTGAATGATCATCGACTTTCCATTTTTAACCCCAATCGGGTATTCCGTCGGGTCGACAATTCGTATCAATTGATAATTACACCTCCCGTGGACAAAATTGGCTTGATATATTTCGGCCCTGTTGAAATAAAAATATTCGAACCCACGTGGAAAGCTTTTCATTAAGATTTCGCTTTATCGGTAAATAATGGGCGATTGAAAATTTCGACTTTCTCGTCCGAGAGCCCTCGAAATCGCTATGAAGACCAGCCGAAGTATCGCTCCGCTTTCTGCATCGAGTTTCCCCGATTTTCCTGCGAGTTTCCCGAAAAACGAGTCCGAATCCTCGACAGAAGGACTTCGGAAAAATGTCGAGAGGACGGAAAGTATTTTAACTCTGCAGTTTTTTCAAAAAGATGCGCCGAGCATGAACGACAGGGGCTGCAAATATTTCCTCGCAAACAACATTTTAATACATTATTTACAGTACGGATAAACATTGCTCCGGTTTTGACTAAAACGCAAACACGTCTCGGAAATGCTTTCCAAACATCCGCGCTTAAAGCAAATTCCCAAGGATATTGAGGAAGGGAAAAAATTATACAGCGATGGCAAAAATAATTCCGTATAATTTTCAGCTGCTAAATCATTCTGCAATTAATTTTAATTGTATATCTTCTGTGACGCAGAGATGGAGAAAAATCCTTAGGGGAAACCTGGAAAATACGTGAAACGAGTCACTTGACGTTGCGTTTCAGAAATTTTTATTAAAATGAATAACGAGCGAAAATGGAAAATGCTAAAGTTCTTGAAAAATTCTTTCGTAGACAGAAGTAAAATATAAAAAGAATCGTAGACTTACTAGTTTTTCCTTGATCCAGGAAAAAATGGGTTTCTTCGAGATTAGACATCCTTGAGCATGTTTGCACCATGACCTGCATGATCATCTCCACCATGATCAACTCCACTTTGATCTCCCTCATGATCGCTTCCAGGATCATACATTGAAAAGTACGCCACACTCCAAACGCAGAAAAATATTATTATGACAAACGACGAAATCGTGTTGAATCTGCTCCAGCTGAAGACGAGTTCTCCAAAGGATTTGTTTTTTCGAGTTCGACAAGCCAAATTTTCGCAGCAAATAGCTTGACTGCTGCTGACGTAGGACATCTTGAACAATGTCAAGACACTGTACGTGTCAAGTGTTTTTTAACTTGAGAAACGAGACCTTATCCGAAAGGGATAAAACACGATCTGTACATTATTCGGCTGTTGATTACAGCCGTCACGTTAGCGATATAAAGAACGGTGATAAGATACCGGAGCGCCAATGATGGGACAGATATTCTTAGATAAATTAAACATGAGAATACATTTAATATTTTCAACTTTTTCCAAACATTCAAATTGCATACTTGCCCTATTCTTAAACGCCTCTTTCTCAAAATATTTCGGCGTTCCTTTTTTGAAAATTGTTGCAAGTCCTCTTGGCGTTGAACTTATTATTTGCAGTCTTCAATCGCAACATCCGGAAACGTCGGGATTGAATTTTTCCCACGAGAAGAACCAATATCCGAGTGTTGCACCGATAACCATGGCAAGACACAACCAAATGTTGTATGTCATGAAAATTAACATCAAGAAGTAGCCGAGTACATACTGCACTGCATGTAGAAATGTCTGCAAAAAGTGCACTCCGGATAGTAGGTACTCCCTGAAATACAATGACAAGTATTAATATAGAAAATTATTAAAATTACTCATATGCCGACGATTATGAGAGTAGCCTATCTACGAGAAGAATAAAAAAATGAGCGAAACTACTTACGTAGTTTAGCTCATTTTTCCATTCTTGGAAGGAATCCATTCACGACACGCGATTGGTAATAAGTTGGATAACAGTTGACCTTATCTACTAAACGTAATCCATGTGCTTGAAATTTCCAGATATCTCCTATTCTCAGTTTAAAAATGAATGGAGTTCGATAAAATTGTTATTAAACGTCGTTTTGTCATACACTAAAAACTTCTAATCGGTAAAAGGAAAGTCTTACCTTGTACTTTTCGTCTTCTGTTCCTTTTCCTTCAATGGATTTGTTGGGGCATTGGCGATATAGAGATGTTCCCTGGAAAAATATTCGTTTTGATTAAGGAAAATAGTAATATATAATAATAAACAAAAATCAAAGAAATATACAAAGGCCAAAAATGGTAATAAGGATGAAGTTTATCAGGAAACTCGGTACAGTTTCGGGTCAGATATGCACTTACATATTTTTGATATTTACCTGTAACTCTTCAGGGCCTCATAAAGAGCTGCAAGAAGACCGATGCCGATCATAGAACCGACGATTCCTTGCCAACTATTCGTCTTCCATCCCTCGAAGAGTATCGTTTCGGTGACACCTGTGTGAAATGCCATCTACACCGACAAAAATCATTTTTCAAGAACGGGCCCCCGTTGGAAAATTGATAATACGTTATTAGACATGCCGGTGAACCTCATACATTTTTTGAATACAAAGTTGTATTATGTATTGTTTATTAGTAATTTTTTTTTCTCCGTCATTCAAACGGTTTAGGAAGGAAGAAAAGGAACACTTGCTTTTGTCATTGTAAACGCGTTAATGTTTTATGTGATTCCAATCACTTACGGCATGCATGATGTCGGTTGTTCGTTCGACAAAGCCCTGATAAGGTATACTTAAAGACTGGAGAAGGTTGACGACCATCTGTATCATCTTTGTACAAAGTCAATTTAGTTATCACTCCAGATAGCATATCGAGAGATCATCTTGATACAGAGGTTCACATACATTAAAAAATCCCCTATTATACATTTCTTATCAGATATAGAACCCTTCCACTTGTTTTCAAAAAGAGCATGTTAATTTAATGTTTCTACCTTGTGAATAATTGTTATTTGTGTATTTCAAGAATATAGGTCGGAAGATAAGAAATTCCACGGACGAATAAATTCGAAAGATGGCTTTGAAGTTCGAAGTACGGAAATAGATACGTTTCACATGTTTCGGATGCCAGTAACACTATCACGGCGTTACGACGAACAGTACGTATGATAAGGTCTCAGTTGCCAATAAGTCTTGCAGGTGATCGGATATTTTGTCTCGTTTTTCCGACTTTTCCGAGCGGAATGACATTTCCAATATCTTTTTGTGGGGACCTGACATGAGAGACGTCCGTGATGCCATTATTGAAAATAATATTTTGCTCCATTCCCAGAAAAAATATTTCTCTCCGTTTGCATTATCATCCCTGTTTTTCCCTCCTCCGTTAATGTTCACACAAAATCATGCTTTCCTTATCGCTCCATTCTTCCAAGAGACTCTCCTTTTTCTCTTTCTCCTCACGAATCCGGATCCCAAAAACAAACCCAAACCTCTATACAAAGGACCATTCTTTCCTTATCATTCTCATCGTGGAGGTATCCAACGTCCCGAATGCGAGCTCCTTAGAAAGGACGCCGATCCTTGGCAGAGGCCTCGGGGTCGGCGTTGGGGGTGGCGCGCGTCGACGCGCACCATAGCACCCCCTCGGAGTGCCTGCGGCGCCCCTAGCGGCGCGAGGCCCGCATCAGCGGCGCGCCTGTGGCGGCAGCGGCCGCCGATGGGTGGCAGTAGGCGGCGGGCGGCTGCGGGCGGTGGGTGGTGGGGTGCGCTGGGCTGGCGCAACCTGTGGCTGATCCTGACCGAGGCGACTCCCCGCGCCCGGAAATTCGTCCACGCTCGATCGCCGGCTTCAGTCCCGTTCTCCCTGCCCGGCCGTTTGCGTCGCGGCGACTCCTGCCTGCGCCCTCGCCCCTGCGTCGCGCCGAGGAACTCGACCCGGACGCCGCTCCGGATTTATTTCATCCTTCGTTTGCCCGGCTCCCGGCATGTCCGACAGGAGTGCTCCAGGAGAATGAACGCATTTCGGGTGAGTGCCCGCCGGCCAATCGGCTTCGCCCTCCCCCTAGAGCCGCGGGATGTACCCAGACAACCCTCCAGGATTCTATGAACGTTATTCCTGGGATTTAAATACTCTTAAGGCTCGGGTCCACGTGCAAGTAACTTGCGACATTTCTCGATAGAACAGCTTCAATTTCCGGGTACACTACCGATCAATTTACGCAAGTTCACTTCCAATACTGTGTACTCTGTGGCTAAGACCGTCTGAGAGCAGCTCTCGCAAGCTTACTTGCACGTGGGTACGTGCCATTAGAAGTTCGCCTTGACGCAGACGATATCGTATCGTTCCTACGTTTTACATAATCCAGGACTATTAACCTGATAGTGATAATATCGGGTTATTTCTACATCCTTAAATATTTCATATTTTCGTTTCACCCTTGGCAATATCATATTATCCTTATGTTTTTTCACTTACCGATACGTTGCGTATACATTATTCGTTTTGTAACAGTGTTATACAGCTGCGGAGGAAATAGTAATACAAATCTTATATATTATATGTATACTGCGTTACATGTTACAAACGTTATGTAACGGTTATATTATTACTATATCAAGGTTTTCCTTGGAGCCTCCACGTCCACGAATAGTAGAATTTCAAACAATTCGGTATACCCAATTTAAAGAAAATTTTCATAAATGAGACTCCTAGGACGCCATTTGCATACCACCCTTCGTAGAGGCTCCGAATGGCGACACGTAGTTAATTAATTGGCTACTCGTTGCGGCGCTCCCTATAGAGATTGTTGGTTTTTCAGGTGCGAGGGGAGCCGATCGGTGCCCATCCCAATGGGCGGGCGGGTTCGTGGTCTATCAGGAAATCCGGACGTGGCGGGACTTAATTACCGACGTCGCTCCGATAACTGAAGAGGATACCCAGGGTCGGGTTTAATAATTGTCAAGTGGCCCGAGAAGGAGAGAGAGATGAGCGGAAAGTCGATACTTGACACTTATCGATCCTACTTGGCGTCCCGAAACGGGAGCACCGACTCCAGGAAGATGAAATCCCCTTGGTGAACGCTCCTCTCGACGATCCTGACAATGCGCGGCCCGAAGTAATCCCCTGAAAGAGCGACAAAAGGGGCAAATTTAGAGGGAGAGGGAAAACGAGTAAAGTGCACGCTTTCCACCCCGGCCTTCTCACGCCGTCGCGTTTTCGATGTAGCTTTACGAGGCGCCCAATCAAGGGCAGTTTGGGATTCTTTTTCGAGGAACCAAAGCACTCGTCCTGGTCCTTCGTTGGACTCCTTGGAGGTTCTGGCGAGACTTCCGAGTTCCCCGTTAAGTCGGGCCAGCTTTTTCGGGGATTAACGGCTGCCGGTCGATTATCGGACCCGGGAAATGTGCCAATTCCTGGGAAAAGTGCAGCGCTCCCGGAGGAACCGGTAAAAGTGGACCGCAACTGTTGCTCGCCAGGAAGTTTTATGCCTCCAGCTGGGGAGCACTGTACTCTCTGGTGATATGCTTCGCCGAGGGGCACGAAGGGGGGACTCCTGAAGAGGGGGATCGAATTTTGGAAAGATGCCAGCCACCTCCTCCCTCAAGGAGAGCACCGAAGTGATCCGCATGGAGACCTTCGGCAGGATTCCCGATCCCAGGAGACCTGGACAAAACGGGAACGCCAACACCGAGGTCCACGGGAATTCAGGTAACTCTAACTTCTCATGTTCGATCAATGTTCGAAATTTGCAAAATCTGAGGATGATTGCAGGACAAAGGCGCAACGATTTGAGTCGAGCAAGTCTTGAACAATCGCGTGTTTCCCTCTGCAAGGACATTTTCGTTCCTCTGAGAATAGCTTGGTCGATAACACGAGCAGTTTCCGTTGCATGGGCAGAAGCCATAATTAAGGGGAGCGTGATTTCGAGGAAATATTGAAAACGTATTAAATCTCGTTCCGCTCATTTCGCGCTGATTTGTCTACCTTATGATTCAGGGCCTCCTTGCTATGTCGAACGTGACTCGAATCGACATACATATTTTAATGATATATTTTAATAGCACCTCGTGAATAAACGATGGACAGTTCGGATATGACTTGTATTGATATTAATGTCTTAATAACGTATGACATTAATATATGAATGTAGAGAAGTGATGAATCTTCGGATATAACTTGCAAGTACATGGGTTCTATATGTTCAACTTGACTTACATTATGGAGAAATGCAGTGTGCCAAGAATGTATATATACAACGTTTCCCCTCGAGCCTTGACGACAACCTTTTGGCTCCTGCTCTTCTTTTAGGGGTGGAGGGATCATTATACCCCTGAAAGAAGGGAGTCATTCCACCCGTTGATTCCACTTTTCGAATCGATCTGATGCCCCCACTCAAAAACTATCCACGTGAAAAGAACTTCCATGCAAAAAATGCACATATTTAATACCCACGCGATGATAAAATATTCATGAAAATGGCGTGAAACTTACAGCAATTAAACGGAACTTACCGCATAATTCGATTTACACGAAAAATGAACGTTCTTCCTACGTTCAACATACTTTACCTTTAATTTTCGGATCAATCCAGTTCCTTGCCGAATCCACCCTTAATTAGTATCTGCGAGGTGGATGGCCCATTTTATGGAATCCCATGAGCAATTTCAGATTAATCCGGCACATTGCTTCCTGGTTCAGGAATCGTAGATAATAGCCTTAGGGGTCGATCAACCCTAGCGAGGGGGTATTTCAAGAATATATTCCTCTCGGAATATATTTCTCAGCCTCGAGATAAACCATTCACTTGAAGTCGTACAACTTGATTAAAGGCAAATTCAAGTAGCCCCGTTAGACGGATAAAAAATGACGTGAAAATAATGAATAAAACATCGGATCGAATAGGAGATCTCGAAATGCAAAGGCTTCACTTCTCCACCCTGTGAGATACTTTTAGGAGGTACAGACGTCACGGATGCCCAAAGCGATACATTCGATTGGATATTTCCTTTAACGGGGGAGGCACTCGGGGTTGAAAAATCCACCCTCTCCGGAGTCAATGGCCGAACCCGAAGAGCCCTTACCGACCAAGCCGCACCGACTTTTACCCTGTCCATCCCCTCCTAGATGACGCCACCGTCGGGATTCGGCTCGGGACAGAAACCACCCCCGCGGGCCTCCCTTTCTGCCGACCGGAGCCGCCATTCCTGCCAACCCCTGCGCGTTCGGGTGCAGCGACGTATCGCGCGAATGAAATGTCAACCCGCGGTACCACGGAGGACTCGGACGCGGAGGGTGAATTTTCGGGACAGCTCGCGAGGGATCCGGGGGTAGGTTCTGGTCGGCGCCTTCCGGTGGCGGGTCTCGAGGTCGATCGTCCCTGAAGAGGGTGCACCCGGAAGGGAGGGTGGCTCTAGGAAGTCTCCCCTTGGGGTAGGAGGTGCCAGACCCCGAGGCGATCCCCGAGGTGATCCCCGAGGCTAGGGGGGTGCTCGAAGTCCCGGCGAGGGTGCTTCCACGAGGGAGGGGAAACGACGAATTCTGGCTGAACAGCGCGAGCCTCTTATCAAGGTTTCGTATGCCACGCACGACGGGGAGGTAAAAGATTTCGTCCACCGGAGGCCACCCCCGGGCAGGTTCGCCATGAGCGAGCAGGACGTCGACGACGTCGCCTTCTTGACAGGTGAGATGAACCTCCGGATGAATTTGCTCCGATGCCCATGGCGAGGGACCCTGATAAGCTTTTCCTTACAAGGGGTTGCTCCTGTAGGAACGTCAACTTCGTTTCTTCGATGACAGATAAAATGACAATAGGGACAGGCTTCACAGAGTCGTAGAGTCCTTCACTTGGATTTGATCTTTGGATGTTGTAGTCTGGTCTTGTATTAAACGTTGGCGTTATCATATATGATGCGCGAGATGACGGTATCTTGACTTCATCGGATGTACTATGAGTACCTGAATAAATACTAATACGCGTACCATCCTACACGGTCGAATGACAGTCTCCCAAAATCCATAGATCAGCTGAAATGTTTATTTAAAATGTTTGTTAATTCTCTGGAAAGCGGCGTTCACCCTGAGAATAAGTGCCGCCAATTATTCCTCGTTCACACGTGGCTAAAGCGTCACATTGCGCGTCATCCAATTACTGTACTTACAACGAGGTTAACCATCGTGAACTCGATCCACGTGAATTGCCATTTCACACGTTGGAAATCCGGTGTCGAATTTCACGGGGAATTTAGTCCCATCGGAAGTCAGATGGTGCGTCAATCCTAAACGGATCTCACGTTGAAGTGTAAAGTACTTGTACTCTAAGTGCACTTACCTAGGCGGAAAACAGGCCCTCGATCGATAAGGGTCGGCAAGGGGATGGATAATCGGACACGCGATAATTGACCCCTTGTGCAAAAAATTCCTTCTTCTTAAGCCGCTTCGGATCTGGGTCGAGATGAACGTTTTACGAGGGAAACGGAAGCACTGCTCAAAAAACTGCGTGTCGCGAGCTTTCTCGGGGGTGCCGCCCGGAGGGCTTCAATTCAAGCTCGAGGACTGTCGGAATAATTGAAAGTGAACTTTAACTACTTCTACCGAAGAGGGAAACGCGAAACCCTGTATCAGATTGTGCACTTCGTTCGATAATAAATAAATGAAAAATGTTATCAAGTGTTCGGGGGTTACCTTTTAACCCTTTAAGTATTCCCCAATTTGGGTGTATCGATTAGTTTGAAATTTTACCACGTGAATAATTTTTTTTACCAACGATTGCAAGAGATTGCTGACTTGTCTCGGAGCTGACACGTGCTTTTAGTGCATACATTTAGTTGCAGCTAAACGTCAGAGGTGGTATTCGTAGGGCTGGAAAAAAGAACCCTGGATCAATAAAATGCTGGCAAGGGGACGCATAATCGTCACGGTAATTGACCTCTCCCTGCAATTCCTGCGGAAAATTCGTGATCCGTGCACGGTTTCTAATCTGGGTCAAGATTAAAGTTTGATGAAGTAAACTGGAGCACTGCTCGGGAAACGTGTCGCAAGGTTTCTCGGATACGCCCGAAGGGGTTGAATTCTATCCTTAGGGCTGCTGGAATAATTAAACATGCGCGAACATTAAAGAAAAGGATTTTATGGATCAATGAAAATATTACACTCGCCTCCAAATTACCCATTGATGAGTTTCATTATTATGTAGGATATTAATCTTCCCATTTACTTTGCCTAGAGATCTAATATATATTTTTTATTAATACGACGGAAAAAGAGTATATCGCACACGGTACAATAAGGGGACGTTAAATCTTTCTCACTTTTTCAGCGGACAATTTTTCCCATAGGGAGCGGTAATGAAATAAAATACATTAATCCGTCGAAAGGGGAAGCTTTTAGTGAATTTTTTTCTTGTTCCAGGAGACAGCAATACAGGGCTGCACAAACGCAGCCTTTATGAACACAATGGAGTTGCTGTGTGCTCGCAAAAAAGGGCACTTTGCATCGCCACCATCGTTTTTGCGGTCCTCTTCGCCATATCACTTATCGTTGCCTTCGCGGGACCACAGAATGGTACTGATTTTCCCACAACCCTAAATGAGAAATATAAAAAATATACCGCTGAAGCATACATAAATATTATTAATTTCTGCTATGCCAAAGTATATGTACGGTGAACTCCTAAGAATATTACGATTTCATTTTTTTCAAGACTGTCCTTGCGCTGGAGAAAAGCCGGCCAATTTGGAAATCGAGGATGATGGAGTAAGCAACGAACCACTGGCGACGAATGGGGAGGTTCGTATTGTTTCTTTTATTTATTGTCTTTTCCAATTCTGGAGCTTCATTGTCCCCCGCGAATCGATGAGCTCTACTTCTATTCTAAGCCAATACTTTGTACGCGGCGGAAAAAATAATGACGAGCATATCTTCGCTGTTAAAAATGTTTGCAAACGCCTTTACTTGTTTTTTTTCAATTTATTTAATTAATCCATTTAAGAGTTACAGTAAACGGAATTGAATTTTTTAGGTATTCCCTTGGAACAACGTACGGTTGCCCACCTTCGTGCACCCTACGAGGTACAACCTTACGATACACCCAAACTTGACAACCCTTGAGGTGAAAGGTAAGTCTTGAGCTGCTCATTAATCTCACCTGTCGCAGCATTAACAATAAATCAAGTGTGTCGATTGACCTGCAGGACAGGTGACGATCGAGTTCTACGTCGACAAAGAGACCAATTACATTGTCTTCCATAGCAAGAATTTGACAATAAACGAAAAGGTGAGCACAACTTGACACACCTGCACTGAGAAAAAACATTGTCATTGGACGAAGGAAATATTTTGTCAATTCAAAGAATAATTACCTGACTCAAATAATCCCGAATAAATTGGATGCAACATTTATTCGGAATTACGACAATTTATTTCAGCCAGATAATTATTCTTGGAATTAACAAAATATTCCTCTGGTTCAATGAATCTTTTTCCTCAGCGTGGGAACTTTTCCGTTGGCGTTTTCCAGATGGTGCAAGACCGGAAGGGACACCGACTAAAAATCGCTAAGCTTCTGGAGTATCCAAAGCACCAGCAACTTTATTTAGAACTGGAGGAGAGTAAATTTCGAAAGAGGGGGAATTACACGGTCAACCTCAGGTTCATCTCGAAGCTGACCAACGAACTCGAAGGGTTCTATCTCAGCAGCTACGTCACTGCTGAGGGAGAAAAGAGGTATTGCTCCTTCGTATACTTCTAGGATATACTTTCCTAATTATTTCTATTATACCATTTAATTTTTATTTTTCAGATTCTTGGCCACGACGCACTTCGAGCCCACTTATGCACGTTCGGCCTTCCCTTGCTTTGATGAACCGCACTTCAAGGCTAAATTCAAAGTGTCCATCTTTAGGGACAGGTTTCACATAGCACTTTGCAACATGCCAGTGGTGAACACAGAAGATGCTGGGTTCTACATGGGAACCGGCCTTGTAAGTATGATTTTATCGCTCCATCTTCAAATTAATCGGATACCCCTTAAGGTGATACGATAGGGTCATTCAGTATATCAAAAGTCATTATCAAGTCATTAACCTGTTATGCCGATGAAACTAACATCCACTGAATTTTTTCACAGCTGCGAGACGATTTCCAAGAGTCCGTCGAAATGTCGACGTACCTCGTGGCCTTTGTGGTTTGCGACTTTAAACGCGTCTCGGAAATGACGAAAAGAAACGTTTCCGTAAGCGTTTATGCGGCCGAGTCGATGCTTCCGCAGGCGAATTATGCTGCCCAATCTGCAGCTCGGATTATGGATTACTACGAGGCTTTCTTCGGGGTTCCTTACCCTCTACCAAAGCAAGGTACCGAAAAGACTTGACTCCTTATACTTGATGAATTTACCTCCACTGAGTCGAAATAATCTCTAAATGTTTGAAAATTATTGAAATTCCACTAAAGCTATTTTCCTTTCCAGATTTAATAGCCATCCCGGACTTCGCTGCCGGTGCCATGGAGAACTGGGGTCTGATAACTTACAGGGAAACTTCTATTCTCTACGATCCAGCAAAAACGTCCATGGTGAGCCGTGAATGGATCGCAGTGGCCGTGGCCCATGAATTGGCCCACCAATGGTTCGGAAATCTGGTGACCATGAAATGGTGGAACGACTTGTGGCTGAACGAAGGAGCTGCCAGCTTCTTCGAGTACAAAGGGGTTGACTACATAGCTCCAGAGTGGAGTATGATGGATCAGTTCGTGACGGAGAAGGTTCAGCCAGCCTTAAGTTTGGATGCCACAGCCAGCAGCCATCCAATCAGCGTGCCGGTGAAGGATCCAACGGAAATCGAGGCCATTTTCGATACGATCAGCTACAGCAAAGGAGCTTCTATTCTGTACATGTTGGAGACCTTTTTGTGCGAGCACGTCATGAGAAAAGGCCTTAATGACTACTTGAACATCCACGCGTATGGGAACGCCGACACTAATGATCTTTGGGCTGTCTTCACCAAACACGCTAATCACAGCTTCGACGTTAAGGTATTCTTTAGAATTTATTTCGGTTTTTTAGGGAGGCTTTGGAGGTTCCTAATGGCTGATTTCGGACGCAGGCTATCATGGACACGTGGACCCAGCAGATGGGCTTCCCTCTTATCACCATTACCAGAGATGGTAACACCATAACTGCTGCCCAGAAGAGACTTCTTCTTTCGCCGATTCGAAACGAAAGTGAGCGTCTCGAACCGAAATCACCGTTTAACTATAAGTGGTACGTTCCGCTTAGTTATTACACTGACAAGGAGCCGAGGAAGCTACATACAGTTTGGATGAACATGAGTGACGGTAAGCTCAACTTGTGTAAGCAGGTATTAGCCAGCTTTAGCCTCGCGAATGTTTCCTCAGTTTCTAGATATTAATTCACGACCCTTATCGTAACAGTGACTTTTGAGATCCCGGCCGACGTGGAATACATCAAGTGCAACGTGAACCAGACCGGCTTCTACAGAGTTTCTTACCCCGGAGAGATGTGGGCAGCTATCATTGCGACTCTTCTGAACAACCACACGAGATTTACGCCGGCAGATAGGGCGAACCTTATCGACGATGCGTTCAATCTCTGCGAAGCTGGAGAGCTGAATGCCACTGTTCCTTTGGAGCTTTCTCTGTATCTTCTGAACGAGAGAGATTTTGCACCTTGGGCCAGCGCGGTTCGGCATCTTCTGAAGTGGAGGAGCAGGTTGACCGAAAGTTCTGCCTACAAGAGGTACACGGAGTTCGTGAAGAAGCTCGTGAGTCCTGTCACCAGATACGTCGGATGGACCGATGATGGACCACACTTAAAAAAGTAACTTCCTTCTTAATCATGCCTTAACCCTTTCGATGCTGGTGGCCAAAATCGGTCACGGTCTTGCAGTCTTGGTCGTGATCTTCTATTTGCTCGTTACTAAAGTGATTGCTTCTAGGTTTCGAAATTTCTAACGAGTTTTATTACATGCAGAGTTCTACGTACGATCATGCTGAATGTGGCGATCGAAGTTGATCTTGAAGAAATTGCGAAAGCGGCGAAGACCCTTTTCGATGACTGGATGTTCCGAGGGAAGCGTCTGTCTCCAAATATTCGAGACGTTATCCTGACTGCAGGTAATTGTTTCATTGGAATTGCATCCTTTTGTCCGATATACATTATGTCCGACATAATATACATTGTCTCGTTATTTTTCTTAGGAATCAAATATGGCGGAGAAAAAGAGTGGAACTACTGCTGGGAACGGTACCAGAAATCCCAGGTGCCTACTGAGAAAAACGTGATGTTGCAAGCCCTTGGGGAAGCTGCGGATCCTTGGCTGCTGCGAAGATATCTTCTATATACTTTAGACCGTGATAAGGTCAAGCCGCAAGATATCGATTCCGTCGTCTCGGCGGTTTCGAAAAATCCCGAAGGCCAACTGCTTGCCTGGAGGCACGTCAAGGCCTATTGGCCGCGAATGCAGGAAATATTTGGCAACGGCTCCATTTCGCTAAGTGGACTCATATCCAGTGTTACTGCGGACTTCACCACGGAGTACGACTATCGCGAAGTGAGCTAACAAATTACATTTATTACCCTTGCATGTAACTCCATTGGCAAAGATTTATCACGTAATTAATTTTGTTTTAGGATTTAGTACTGTTATTAATTTTTTTAAACGTAAAACTTAAGACTACATTTCTGCACCAGGTATCGGAGTACTTCAAAAACGTCGACATTGGTAGTGGCCAAAGAGCTCTGGAGCAAAGTCTAGAGTCCATCAACCTCAGCATCCACTGGTTGGAAAGAAACGCGATTAACATCGACCAGTGGCTCATCAACTACGCTAACACGTCACACGCGAGTTAAAAGCTGAACATTGGAAGAAGACATCGGAAGATCCGAAGAAGTGTCCTCGGCGATCTGTCAAAAGCCCAGTCAACCCCTGAACTCCGGCTGGACCAGAAATGATGAAAGTAGAGATGTCGAGTCAAAAACTGTCTAGTAAAAATGAAATAGACGTAACGACGGAGGCTATGAAATGAATGAAAGAGGTGATGGCCTCTGGTAGAAAAATGGAAGAAATTATGATGTTCCCGAGGCCAATGATGACTAGACAGGAGTGAAGGAAAAGGAATGCATCTCCTTTACTTTCACTCCGCCATTGCGAAGGATGCAACCCTTTTAGTGGGTAGTCGCATCAGCCGTCCCAAGAAATATTTTCCAAAATGATTCTCCGAATCTAGAAGCTCCGAAGAAAATAGTAGGACTGAAAGCACATCGCGGGTACGAATCGTGCTTTGCAAATGTCTCCGACGAGTTTAATGTTTCAAGTGGGTAGGTAAGAAGTCTTCGAGTAGAATTGGCCGAATTTGAGGCATTGGCATAAATTACGTTAGTCTACAAATTCCAATGTACACGTTTACCTCCAAATTCTTACCAATTGTACTCTTGGGTAATCGTTTCGTACGTTTAAGTAGCATATCAAAGTTAGGTATGGGCGTATGCAAAGTGTATGCAAACCAAAGAAAAAAAAAAAGAAAAAACTGCGAGCCAAAGAGCTTTCAGGATTACGAGAGCTTGTCCGATTCCGAAATTAAGTCTGTGTCGTCGCGCGGCTTCACGTCGTCCGATTAATAATGAAAATCAAATAATCGTGGATACGCGTATATTTAGAGGAAACCAAATGTCGGTGTCGTGTGTGCCGTGTGTTCATGTTACTCGAGGATACCAAAAAGCCGCATATTGCGCGACCTGCGTCGTCCAAAACGGCCGATAATTCTAGTATTAATTATAGAGAACTGGATATTTTACTATGGGGAAATGTAAATTTGTATAGTCACGTGTCGCTTTGTACAAGTGCATTTTGGGGTCCGACACCCAGCTCGAAAGTGTGGTAAAAGTGTCAAAAGCTGATGGCACAAATGAACGCATGTACCTGAACGTTTATAAAAAATTAATTTAAAATTTTATTCGGAACTGCACCGAAGTCATTATATTTTTTTTTGCATCGTGCATAAACAGTTACATGTCTGCTAATTGCTAATTTTGACATTCTTATCGTGCTTTCGAAACTGGGGCTTTCGCACCTAATAAGTGGTCCCACCGTGCAGAATCGCGATAAAATAAGTCCAACAAGCGAATCTGAAATTATTCGCGATCGAAGACGCCTAAAATCGCTGTTGATGTCTCAAAATTCAACTGCAAGGAACTCGCCACCTTCGCAAACGACGATAGCGAACGCGGCGCCTACTCAAGCTCTTCTGATAAGCTCTTCTAACTATTTTCTACGCACCGTTGACATTCAACTGCCCGAATTAACGTCGACCTAAGTCGACGAATTTTGATGAACCTAGATGATCGTGGAGATGCAAATTTTTCATCGCATCCCCTCGACGCGGTCGTAGTCTTGAAATAAAAATGGGAATTCCGACCGAATCTCTCATTTCGATTTTTGGAGATTCTTTCGCGGTCATTCCGCCCAGATAGAAATTCAGGACCATCATATACGATGGGGAAAATAGATTTACAAACAATTTGCAGACCATGTGCTGCATGCAATGCAATTGTTTATCGACAATGCGTGAGATAAATTTAGCTGTACGTTTGCGTACAGACATTGAGACATTGTATGCACTTAACTTTGTTTCATATTTCAGTATTTTTGGTTCGTCATTGTGTAGTGCAGATATGAGTTCCAACTGAGGATTCATGAGCAACACCCTCGTGTCTCGTATCATGAACTTTTGTCAGGCAAATTTCATGAAAATTTTGCGTCACATCGTCTATCTGGGCGGAATCTCTCGCCAGTAAAACGCACAATGCGTATTATCTACACCTGTAAATAATGGCCCGATAAGCTCTTCGTCATTTTTTCAATTACGTAGATTTTTATACACTCCTATCGCGAATCGACGAGTGGACGCACAACTAGATACTTATATGTAAATAGCATATTTTTTCACTAACAATTTCTCTCTCTCTCTCTCTCTCTATTTCTTAGTATCACCGGGACATTAGATTTTTTATTTTGTAAAAATCATTTTGAGACGCGGTGTATCTCTAATGCATCGATATTTATTAATATGCGTCTATCTCTCGTTCCAACGATTGAGCAGGCCTACAAATTACATCGTTTATGTAAGATAATTGTTTAAACTCTAACGCAATCTCTATCCTTGTCGGATTTAGTTTCTCATTTTGCAGAATCTCTCCTAACTGACCATTTCTTTGAAATTATGAACTTAACAATTCGAGCTAAGTCTTGGACTATTTAGTTAACTTATTAAACTAAAGTTTCGAGTTCATTACCATTAGGTCCCACGACTAATCTCACTATTAATTTAATGTTAATTTTTGAAAATAATAGATGGATATTTAGGTGTGGCGACGTGCTTTTTATATTATGGCGAGGTTATCGTGTAAGCAAGGTAAACAAAAAAAAATATGACAAGACATGATTAAAAAGTTGCGACGAAAAAACAGTATTTCATTCAATCGCAGAAGACTATATGCAGCGCCTGATTGTGCGGCATAAGAAGTAAGTAATAATGCAGAAAGAGGAGGAAAAATGATCATTACCAGTGTAATAATATCTATATTGTATACTGCTCTTTACGAGATTAAGATCCCTCGACACTTCGAACTCGCCTCGGCCAAAGTTTATCTTAAATTATTCCAAATAAGTGGGTTATAATTATTAACATAGTGTCATTAAACGGATTTATTTTCTGTTTTCTAAGGTACGTTTCGCATGCTTTGTCGAGTAATCATATCACTTAAAACCAATGCAATTGTTTACGAAACTTACATTGTAAATCCATTCCATGCTTATTTACTTACTCCTCCAAATATCTGATATTTTTATTGTTTAAGATTGTGTCGTCCAGTAATTTTAGATATAAGTATCGAGGGATCTTGATATGAGACTACCAAGACATGTACAAGCATACAAATAAATATATTATATGTTTAAAGTATCTCTGTGTTTTTTTGCCTTTTCCTTAACCATTCCTTGATAGCGGAAATCATTATATACTTTGTCCCTTCCAGGAGTTCGCTCTTCTGTGTCGTTTTAATATCCAGAACCGGAATCTTACGCGACTCTACCCAGACTCTGTCAACTTCCTCAAAACCAGAGAGAATGGCACACTCCTGCTTCTATCTTTAAACATTACGCCACTTACAAAGTTCAAGGCTGTAATAATTTAATCCATATTTGCATTTCGTGTTTAAACAAAATTATGTTAGAAAAGCAAATTCCCATTTTTATCAAACGAGTTGGACAGGAAACGAAGTGTAGGTATGTCATGTTCATAAAAAAAAAAAATAGTAAACGAGATTACGCGAACTATAGTTCGAACTATATCCGTAGAACGTCGACGAATTTGGTATATCAACGTATTTTATACACGCTTTGAATACGTACTCGTAAATTAAACAGTAAATGTTTAAACGTTCATGTTATACGGTAAACCACTTGGTTTACGTAAAATACGTAGGAAAGCTTGAAAAACAGGAAATTACCAGACCTTGTGGTCCAGGGATCGACGGTGCTGCCGTCTGATTCGTTTCCTTCGTTTTGATATCTCGAAGACAATAATGTAGCGATAGGAGACCTCGGGTCTCCGTGTCGTCGAGGGCCGAGCAGCCTTCTCCACGAACCGGCAAATTAGTATATACGTCCGCACGTATCTCCTCGAGCCTCGGTTGCCTCCACCACAAATGATGTCACTCAGTCGTTAGAGATCGCATAACCTAGCAAGTCATCGCAGCCTGTATCGATACTACAACCGTCTCCGTCGCCTCTCAAAAGTCCTGCAGTCAGAATCTCCGGTAATTCCCTGCACTCGAATTAAAATCGGAGTCTAATCATACGTACCACGAGTTGGAAGTTTCAAAGGTGCGCCGGGCGGCTGCGCAGGAGCCAAACCGTAATTCCGTGGTCGGCGCCATATTTGAACGCGGCGATTTCTCTAACACTGCATTCTCTTCCTAACGGTTATACCGAATAGTGAGACATTTTCACTCAGGACGATAAATCTGTCGATTGTTTCCCTCTGGTGACGTTGCACCGTAAAAAGTTGCAGCATCCTGATGCGACGAAAGGGTAAAAAGAGCAAACGGATTCGTGAATTTCATTCGTCAATAATTTACAGTTTCAAATGGTACATAGTTTATTAATACACAGTTTACAATTCCCTAGAACACCGCAATATTCATATAAATGAAAAAAGGAAAAAAGGTAGGGACCACGTGTCCCTCTCCCCTGGCGCTGCGCAGTCGGCGCGCGCCATGTTCGAACGCCCCGCGCACGTGAAATTCCATCTGGGTCCCAGCTGCCAATTGGTTGAAACGTAATTATCTCGCAGGAAGCGAGCGGAACGAGTTATTGGCACTGAACGGTCAGCGAGATATCCAGGCGCCTCCGGTAATCGACTCGTCGGTAAGACAGAGGACTGCAGGCCGCTCGCGACTTGTCGACACCCAGTCTCTTCTCTCTGACGTCTCCGGAGAGCCGCGTCATCCCGTCCGTGCTGATCTTCTCCGAAGCGAGGGATGACAGCCGAAACGCAGCTCGAGGACCTGCCGCGAATGGAGTCTCTCTCGCCCGGGTTCGTCAACGGGCCGAATGGCGACTCCACGTGCCAGGTAAGCTGACGAAATCGCCGCGCGACCTTGCGTGCGTGCGCACCGCGCTGCCGGAGGTGGCGCCTCTAAGCGGAGACGCGGCAACGCCGCGGAGAGTGGCGACTCGCCGACGCGGCCAAAGTTCATTCGCCGCGAGTCCCTACGTCGAGTATCTTCGTTTTCATCGTCCCGAAGACGCTTAGATACCCAGGGGTCCGAGAGATATGAGAATGTGGGAGAACGTGGAATTAATGAATGCCAGTAACCAAGGAAGACCTCGGAAAGAATTTCAAAGTACTTACGGTGATATAAGGTCGTTCTATATATATAAGGCGTCATATATGAAACTTTTCTCCAAAATGGTTGCATTGAATCCCAAATATAGACCATACTCAGCGACATGATTTTTTTATAGAGCATATTTATTTGATAATTAATATATATGTACATCATCAAAGTATTTCCATTTATACATTTATGCGCAGATTTACTACTTACTGAATAGATTTAAAGAATAATCGAACAGGGATAGTGATTTAAGTGACACGCATGACCTAGGCTAGGAAGTCGAATAATAAAACGATGTCAATACTAAACATTACATACGTGCCACGTCAGTACAAAGACCGATCGAATTGCTTGGGAATCAGGGAACTTTTACGCGGACGTCGCGATTGCGTCATCCAAAATCTTGTACTCCAACATTATCGACATGCAAACGTTTTTTAATCATCATTTCATTATGTGATTTTTAATTTATTTATATCGGATACGACATTATATATGCATCGGCTAGCTAGAAAGATACGTAGGCTTTGTCCATAAAATTATTCCTAAAGTTTCATCATTGTTTCAACCTTAATAAATTTGTCGACCTTATAAACAAGATGTCGGGGATCTTTCCCAATTAATTATTATTATTAGGAGTTGAATTATTTTATTAGATCCTCTCCTGGATTTGTACCAGGATTTTCTGATTCACAAAGAAGCGCGTAAGCTGGCATAAACCCGAAGCGCAAAAACAAAGTCTGGGCGCGCTGATCGCGGCGGTCGTTGCGGCAATCGGGCGCGCGCGGCGCCCGAGCGGCCCTGAGTGGCCGACGTTGCCGGAGCGACTGCTGAGTCACATATCGGTCGCGATCTCTCCCGGCAAGGTGCGTCAGGCTTGGCAGGGCCGTTTCCCCTAGAATTCGCGGTTCCCAAGTGCGACGAGGTTCCCAAAGACCCGCCAGCGATCGCCCCCGCCATGGCTTAGGCGTCTCGCGAGATCCGCCGCCGTCGCGGGCCCCAGGAAGCCTCAAACTCCGGCGAAGTCACGAGGCCGCGAGCTGTCAACTCTCGTCTTCTTTGGATTTCCTGTCTCTGACGGAGTGTCAAGCCTCGCCGAGGTGCGCTAAATTCCCGACATTCGAGCACCTTCGCGCGAGCGTCGATCCCGTGGCCGCGAGTCGCGAGTCGGCGCCAGGGACCGAGGTAAGCTGCAGACGCGGTTTTGAGGTTATTTCGGTATACCCGCGCTATACGGTGTTACTGACCCGCACTCGCCGGAGGAGGTCTCACTGGGTGTTTATTTCCACGCCAGCGATACGACGAGCAGGTTGCCACTCCGCTGCCGAGAGGAATTAAGAGAAGTCAAGAGGAATCGAGAGAAGTCCAGCTAAGAAGGGGTTAAGAAACGGAGAGGAACCTGTGCAGATTTAATGGCAGGGTGAGCACCGTAGGTCTTTGATGACCCTACGTGCAGTGTTCGAGAAGGCTGGAGAAGACAGAAGACGTGGGAGCTGAGATAGCTACGGCGAGTCGAGGCGGCAGGCATGCCGGGTTGGACAATCGTACTTTACATGAATCTCTATCGATTGTGACGACGAGGAGTTTCTAAGAGAAGGATCGACTGTAGCAAGAGGTGATAAAAAGTGAACCTTCGACGAGCAAGATGCTGTGCCTGAAGAAGCTGTACCGGGAGGAGCTGCTGCAGCTCGCGCTGTTGCTGTCGCTGCTCCGAGTGGATCCGGACTCCTATTCGGGGCTGGATATTAGGACTATAGGTGTCGGGCTGCTGGATCTCAATAATAACACGGGATGGCACTCCGATGTGCCTACTATTATTCATCGGCCTGTGTACGTTCATCCGAAGAACCTGGACTCGATGCTGTTAAATTACGAGAGAGATCTGTTCGAAGACTTAAATTCGCTGGGAAGGTACAATGTGCTCGATTCTGCTCGGAATGACATCCATGCGTACCTGTTGAACGTCGAAGATTCTTCGAGGGAACCCGTTGTAGCCGGACCTAGTATAGCGGTGTCTACGGACCCTGCCAGAGATGTGACGTCTCCGGATACTCCAACTGCAGCCGAGGCTCCTGCGGATCCCGTTGGCGCTGCTGAACTCACGCAAGAGGTACTTCCATTGTAACCTTGTTATTCAAGTAACGTACCTTTTATATTTTATTACGACTTTAAAAACCGAAATAGGTATGTACCAGTATTGATTTTAGTGATAGTATGTACCAATTGGCATCGTAAAAATTAAATTCAATCCCGATTAAAGTCAATCTTTTTGCCCTGATTCTTCTGTCAATTATGATATTAGCTGACGATGACACGAATTGACGAGTCGTCGTGAGGTTTCCCAGGGAAATATCCGGTGCTCTGCACTCGTTACAAAAATCCGCCCGTTTATTTTGCACCGTGCGAGAAGAGTGAGCTCTTTTTAAACAGTATTTGAAACATCTACCTCGCTTATTTTTCCTGGAAACGTTGACCCAGAGCAAAGAGCCTCCCATATTTCACGTTCTGCAAGCCATAACTGTAAATCGTCGTCTCCATTGTTCCGAGTTTAGTCGCGTAAAATTTTTAAATTTAACGCTGCAACTTTATTTTTAATGTGATAATGATATAAGAATTATCACCTAAAATTCATTGATACATTTACGGTTTTTTATTATATTTTCTTGGTTGCGATGGATTAGGAAAACGGGTCTTCTCTGAATATATTTATTATTAATAAAGAAAAGGGGAATAGAAGCGTTTCTCTTATTCGTTTTCCTCCTTTCTTTATGCGAAAGCTTCGACACAGTGCTAAGAGGCTTGCTCATATTTCACAATCTGTCAGTCATAGCTGCAACATGTCTTTTCCATTGTTCGGACTAATGTCGCGTAGAATCTAATTTTGCATTGCGTGTTGCGCTTTATATTTAGTTTGCTTCTTCGACGATATATGAACTCTGACAGTACGAACGACCATTCGAGGAGAACACCTCCCTCGGACAGATATTAATTTCCTCGAGACTTCACGGACTAATGACTCGAAGTACCTAGCAATTTTCTCGATTGTTTGTCCGATGGAGAGGTGAGATCAATCGGGACAGGTTTTTCCTGTAAGTTTTTCCGATTTCTCAACGCAGATCTTAAATGGACTTTTACGACCCTTGCCACGTGGTTGACGTGAATTTTCACCCTACTCTTATATGAAGTTCTAAAAAATCACTAGTAAACATTTAACACTTTAAACATGAAATATTTTGTTTGTGCAATTTAAATCAGATAATTTTATATACCAAATGGTACGATTAGCTTTTTTTTCATACGCAAAGAGAGTGGTTTGAAAATAAACGTCACGATGGCAAATCGAAGCATTTAAAGATTTCTATTTATTTTATCGTCAGGAATGCATTAACATAAGATAGACATTATCGATCGCGTTGGACTATCAGAGAAAAATTATGATTGCGATCGTGCCGACCTTAAACCTCCTTGGTGACGAGACGAGATACGCGAGTCGTTTTTTTGCGATGCCGATCTCTTATTTCTGTCGTATCAATGCTTGATGCAGAAAACATCTTTCTACGGTATTGAAAGACGTGTCAACATCGCGAGGGATTCATTGCTGAGTGTTATCGAAAAATGCAGTTGCACCTGTTATCAGGAGCTCCAGCACCTTTCGATGAATTTCTTTTATTCAATTCAGACTTCAGTTTTTTTTTTAAATGACATACCCTTTCATATCATCTTAACGTTTTAAATAAATCCAGGGCGCATCGCGAAAACCGGGGGAAGGTGAAGAAAAGAGAAAAAATAAAATGGCCGCGGTGCAGGCACCGATGCGATTATTATTTTTTTATTTCCGCGAAGAGGGAGGAAGGGACGCGCCGTGCAAAAATCGAAAATAGATCTCCGCTGGCCGACCTCTTTTTCCGACCGAAGTCTAATAAAGAATCTCGGCTCGATGTAAACGACCCCGCGAGAATCGCGGATTATTTTCGTTGTCTCTCGTCCTCGCCTCGGGGGGACCTTGAAAAATCGGGAGCGACCTTCGTCCGCCTTTCTCCAACGAATGATAGCACGTCATTAAAACCCTCGCCTCGGTCCCTACGTCATCCCGAAATTGGTACCGTCGCGAAAATTCCACATTTCAAGAAAAACTTCGGGCGAAGAGTTTTCCAAGGTTCGCTCGATGACATTTCTCTGCTTTGAAGTTTGTCTTTGAGACCGCGACACCCAGACATGTTAAATCACGTTCTGATAAGAGCCGATAAAAAATCAATATCATTTCAATACCAATGCATTTAATAAGGGGGAATTAACTAATTCTTAAAGTAACTAATATAATAGAAGTCATCAACCTTCTACGTTATCTAATTAAAAAGTGTATATGAAGTACTGCTTGAAAAAAGAAACATTGATTTTCGAGGTTATTCGCCCCAAGAGTTAAATTCGTCGCTTTGATCTTGCTCTTTTCCTTTTTTACTTTTTGTCATTGTTTCCACGCTTTTGAGCCTTTGCTTTTGAAATTTGTTGCTTCGAAAGTCACGCGATCCCCTCGTGTGTTTTGGAATTCCTGACAAAACATTTGCTTCTTCGATGCATCCGAGGACGCGATCGCACGTCTCGTACCTTGCAAAAGTAGAGATTTTTATTTTTTTTTTCGGTCAAGCGACTTGGTGAACTTATCATTACGCGTTGTACCATCTTCTGAATCATGCACTCGGCCACGCTTTATCAGTTTATTGTTAGTAATGGCCGCTGAATGATGCTCTCGTGTTCTCTGGTGCATTGATCATGGCACATCTTTGTCTAATGAGATAAAACGATCAAGGGGTCCGGGATAAAAATTAATTCAAAAAGCGCAGAATTTTTATTCAAACAAACTCCGCTTTGCCAACATAGTCGTAGACACGTCGGTTTCTGAATCGCACGATCGGGAAATGTTCCTTTGATGTTTCCGCCCTGCTTGTTGGCATGTTAAAAATACCACTTCTTTGTCTCGTTTGGAGTCCACATACGTTGTATATTCCGTTGAAGCAACCTTAAACGTTCTTCGTCGTTTTCCTCGACGTCCTTCGTGTATGCAGGTCACCCATATCGGTCGTACTCGATCTAGGTTAACTAATTGCGAGTATGTTCCTCCCTTTCCCCTCTCTCTCCCTATTTTTTTTCGAACACTTCGAGTTGACATCAAGGCAATCGACAGGTTGACTCGGAATTCCCTTAACGGTGATAAAAGTGCCCATGTAAATTTACATACTCAATCATTGGTTATTTTCATGCCACGGTAATTTGCAGCAAAGTTACATTATCCCTGTAATATCGCATTCAACATCTGAGTCAATACTTTATGGGTTTGACGATCGAAAATCAATCGAGTAGGGTCGATCCACCGTGGATCTATTAAATTTTTTTTTTCCATCGCCTTGAACTCGTCACAGTTTGTGTGTCGTGTGGATCAATGAGTCTCTTTCCGACCTTACGATATTCCCTACGTAAGACCTATTCGAACCATGGCAAAGTGCCATGTCAGACCGTTTTAATGATTTTCTCATTGAAATCTATGTGGCAGTTAGTGTCGACTTGACTAGCAGGTCACAATTCCTGTTTACGTCGACACGTTTCAGTGCTGATATGTATTTGCAGTTAGTCTCATGACGTATGAAAAATCCACTGACGAGGCGGTGAGAAAGAATTCCTATCGCCGTTTCCTTCTAACTCCGCGACTTTATATAAAATCTAGCAACCTTATTAAATGACTTTTCTTCATCGTCAACATCGTGGGACGGGTTTTCATTTATCAGTAGAGGGTCTCACAAATCTCGATGACCACGTACACGCAGAGAGAAATGAAAAAATTGGTTCAATAAAAAATAAATAATCGCTCGATGAGAAGATGCAGTTGCAACACGTGGGACTCGAATGAATCATTCGAGTCATCGGCTGGAATAATCGCGGGCATAATTCTCATCGCTAGGCCACGACCACCTGTTGAATGCACTTTACCGAATTTCGGATTTCCTTTGTCGGTCTCGTTGCCTGGCGTCATTGGCATAAGTCGAGCTTTTCCTTGTCATTGTCTTCGGATTTTCGTCGCAGAAATTTGCGTCGCACGCTAGAGGGAGATCCAAATATGCCGGTCTGGGTTATTTCGAGAGCGCTAATTTCCCGGAGTCTCAGGTTGGCGTCTGGTCCGCGAAAAAGGAGACCGACGACTAACTACTGTCACAGTTTAACGTAATGGACGGTACCGTTTTACCGATCCTAACTCTAATTAAGCGAATTTAACGCGATCACCTCGCTTCCGCGAGCTAGGCTGTGATAACGTGATGGGATAATGCTGTAATAAGTTACCGACTAATTCTGATAAAGTGCAGTTTCCTCCTGCACTCGACGTCGCTGACTCTAAGTGTATGAGCGTTGCGCACATAAACTCTCGCCAACTTAATTTCTTATATTTAGAGGAAGAAGTTCGATCAGAGGAATAATTAACTTCGCGGTGAATGGGAATCACGATCGTGTACATATATCTAAGTTATGAAATTCTTCAAATATAGGCACCCCTCTATTTACGCGGAGTATTCCTTCCACGTGGGTTCCTCTTACGCGAATAGAAATCACGTATAAGTCTTAGGAATACATATTTCTTTCGAGTAGCTTGAGAAAGAGAAATAATGACGTTTAATAATCGCGTAAATTGTGTTATGATTTACGCTCTTCTCCGGGTTGATGCCCCTTTCGTATCGCTGTACCCACCACGTTGAAAAATCTTTCAGCCTTATGGAGAGAGTACGTGATATTCTTTAATCATAAACAAATAGAAAAAGCGATAAAACCGTTTAATTTCCCTTTTGCAATGAGCATCTAGATAACACACGGCAGTCGAAATGAGACAATCGGCCGGCGTCGGTCGCGTCGGGGTTCACGAGGGATCCATAAATTGTCATAAATCAGCATCTAAAGCCGATGCAAAGTCCGACCCGGTGAACCCACGACGACGGCTTCCCGAGGCGTCCCGACGCGTCCCGGGTGCCGGCCCTCCAGTGTCTCGGCCGCGAGTGCACGCGATCCGTCCTCGGATTGGAGGTTAGGTTCCTCGCGTCGTCGCCGTCGACCCTCCTCGGAAGTTAGGTT